CGATACTGATATCGGAAAAATCGCTGATATTGCCGATAGCGATAAATCTCTCTCCCTCTCTTTTCTGGGCATGTTGGGGAAATGATACTCCTCCTCAAAACTTCAACAGTTTGTGAGTGATAACTAAGTTATCGCGCTGTGTGCCCTCATGGCCAAAACGGTATAGAATAGACATATAGGAAGGATGTCTAGGCCGTCGGCGGGCTTAGCTAATTTTCACTCAAGTATGCTGAACAGAACATCATATTACTTTATTGTGTGAAAAATAAATCAACACCATGGGTTATTACCAGTTAACTTATTAATCACAAAATGTCAGATTTGATTATGCTATGATGGGAACAATTCATTTGTAATTTTGCATTTGTTCGGAATCATTCATGTTGAAACTCTATTCTCTTTGATATACCTTGGCTTGTCTGGGCATAATGTTTATTTTATATCTTCAAAAAGTTACTTCAGCGTTACTCGTCACTTGATAAATCTCTGGGCCAGGACGTCTCCACGACCCTGGAACATACAACAGAAAATGTAATAATCCTGGTTCCAATTAGAACCAATTCTAAAAGCTAGTCTGTCAACTTAAAGGTATCAAGGTCATCTATACCGAACCAAAAAGAATCTGCTGTTCATATAAATATTGAGAACGAGAATCATGACTCAAGTAACGACGATTCGTGTGAAAAAGGAACAAGAGCAATATTCTAAATTTGTATTCAGTGAGTCAGTGTTGTAGCCCGCTATCAACTATCTATAAGTATTTTGCACATAATTTATTCTGTTGCTAACTACTGATGTGGTGAATATAGAAGAATCGGTGCTCCAGAAGTATGCACACCAAGATGTCGCACAAACTTTATCATTACGGTGTTTAAGGTTGTGCAAAAAGTCTGTTGCATCGAAATCAATCGAAACGCGCGTAGTTGTATAAGATGGATGGTGCGTAAACAGCGCTATCAATGCTACTACTGAGGGCTAACATTTAAAGATTGCCTACAAGGCCGATTCTAATTTCTGGAAGTTGAAAATAATCGTACTGAAGTCCTCCAATGGATTCCGGCGTGATTCAAGGCTTGTCTTTTGGTCCTTTATTGTTCCACGTAACTACTTAAATAACATTTCATATTGCTCCAATTCGCAGATAAAACTGATCTCCTGGGAAGTTCTAAATCGTCATCTGATTTACAGAAGCTCTTTAACCTAGAAATAGAAAACGCCTATTATTGAATGCTCTGTAATAAGTTCAACATCAATATAACAAAATCCAAAATCAAAAGCAGTCCATATGCGCCCAAGTCGCAATGATGACAATTATTCACTCTTTCAGATTTGTATTCACTATGCAATTGTCTCCTGGTGAACTGCCCCTAAAGCGACTCTTTGTGCTATAAAAGTTTCCCGGAATAGGACCGTTAAAATCCCCTATGTCCACGAATATGACGTATTATAAAACTGCTCTTCGAACTTGTTGATATATCAAACTAGAAATATTCAAACTATCGTTTTCACTGCGAAGTTTCATAGTATTATAACCAGCAAATGAGACGAGGTCAGTTTTAAGCCTACAAAATTTTATTTTTATATAGTCCCTCATTATTTATAAAACCACATCGTTCAGATAATTAATCATCTTCCATTGCCAAAAACACGAGTACCCGCTACAGATGATTGGGAATATGGACAAGAATTCTGTATTTTTCGATATGGTACAAAACAAAACGATAAATAAAGCTAGTGAGAAAGCCGTTTGGGTTGGGGCCACAGGCTATAACAAACCACGTTTCACTGTAGTCTTATCATGACCGCTAGTGGAGCGAAATTGCCGCATATGGTAATTTTTGAGATAAAGACATTTCCTAATAATCAAAAATTTCCGAACAGTGTGACGGTCCATGTACAAGAAAGCAGACGGATGGATGACGAGGGATGGATAAACGAAGTGTGGGCGCATCGTCATGGTCGTCTGCAAAAATCGAGATCTCTGTTCGTGTGCTCAAGTCACATCTGTGTGATAATGTTAAAAAAGCAGTTAAAAGATGTAATACTGATATTGCAGTTCTTCCCAGTGGGCTCTGTTATACAGGCATCAGATGCATGTTTAAATGAACCTTTCAAGGACAGGCTCCGTAAATGCTGGAGTGAATGGATGGTTTCCGGAGAGCAAATTTTTGATGCCGCTGGAGATATACGCGCCGCATCACTCGCCGAGTGGGTCTTGAAATCCTGGTTGAAATATGCGATGAAACAATACAGAAAGCATTTCAGAAATATGGCATCTCGAATGCAATGAATGAAACTGAGGACTATTTGTTGTGGCTGGATGACGGCAAAGAAGAAAACAACGCTCAACTAACCCCACTTAGAAATGATCCTTATGACGACCGTGTTTCCGCCGAAGATTGGAGTTGATTCTTCGTCGATGATGATGAATTTGATGGGTTTCAAATGTATTATTTAAAATGTGTATTGCTTAATTTCGTTTTCATTTAAAAGTTATCTAATTTCGGTAATGTTATTTTGTTTACCTAAGTCTGCTGTTAGTGATAAATTGAAGGGATGGTTTTGAGGCCTCCGATTTTATTTCCACTCTCCTAAATTTAAACTGGATACCACAGTTGTCGCATCCCACAGGGAATCACTAAATACTTTGCCAAGCAGAGTAGTGTCCACAATCACAACGCTAGATCAGCTCCAATGTCACCCTGATATTCAAATACAAAATATTTCAAATACAAGAAAGCAATTACCGGCACGTGGAATGCTGTACCTGATGAAATTTGATGCATGCCCTACCAACTCTTCAAAATGTAGGTTTAAACTTTTTTTATTTGTCCAAATACCTTAAAAATGATAGTAACAGTTTTATTTGGATTGATATGTTCGTGAGGATGTTCCAAGACCTGAAATCGATACAGCTCATGACCCAGACCTTAAAGTAATAGTATGATGATACCTATATTTTGGGCAAGGTTTTTGCATGGGTTGGTGTTCTTCACACAATACCATATCTTATACCAAATTTACTTATTCTTATCCAGTTCGATTTTATTCCCACTCCCACAAAGTTAACTTAGACATGGGCTCTCAAGCTATTGCTATAATCAAAGAATTTTGTATTATATATACATGTTGCACATTTGTCCCGTCCCAAATGACCAGTTTGTTATTGTACACCAAAACTGACACTTTGTGTCTTTGTACATGTGATAACTATGTTTCAACCTACTTCCATAAATCTATAACTTCATATTTGAATACAGAATGTTTAACATCCTATTCCGGTATTTGGTCATTTGTAGCCTACATGTACTTTCTCATCTTTATTCCCGGTCTTCCAATGATCTATCTGCTACGAATGATCACAATTAGATTTCAAGTAGATTTAGATGACAGAGTCATTATCAAATTTCTCAATTATTCTCCACAACGCGAACATCTTCACTGACTAGTCCAGAGATTACCAACCTTTATAAAACCGGCAACTCCTTCCTGCGTACCGATTAAGCTAAGGGCTACCAGTTGGATGTACAATTATGCAAAGACAATTTGCACGATCAAGCTATTTACTATTATTGGTATTACTACTAAGAGTATTCAGCTATGAGGAGACCCTGATAATGTTAGAGAATATTACTGACATTATCGACAATTGAAACACTAATAAATTAATAATAATAACTCTTGTATTTCCAAATTAAAAGTTTTGAATGATCACTTTTATAACAACCTAGGAATTCACAATGTAACTGCATTTTCAACAAACAACCTGCACAAGCCTAAGATCAAATGGACCTAGCAGTTGTAATAGTAAATGTGACATTTTACAAATTGTGCATATCTTAATTCTCAATGCTAACCGGGACCTAATCCATTATATTTCCTCGTCAGTTGGCGGGAAAAATGGCATTGTACGTTCTGCACTAGTGTGTTGTAAGATACTTTGGCGTATAACTTGACACTGCAACTATGAGTCTTGCAGATGTTTATCAATGGGGCGCGTTCTGTGTTTGTTCTTGGTGAAATTCAGAAAAGGTTAATTTATTAAGATAGGTTAAACCAAACAAGCTCACGACCTTCAAAACTGCTGATCGTACGCCACTGTACTTTTCTGTGTTGACTAGACCCCAAAAGTTGGCACACCCTTGTAGGCTTTCGGTTGGAGGTCATTTTGCACTGTTACAATTTCGAGCCCCGTTCCCCATCATCAAGGCTGAAGCCTGAACGTTGCTCAGTAATTTGTTTTTCACCCTACCTAAGTACACATTGTGAATAAACAATACAAAAAAAAATGGTACTTCAGAGTGAAGGGAGGCGCGAGACACCAAGACTGGTTATCGAGCAGCAACACCCACGAAGCCACACTAAAAACGTCCACGTTTATGAATGGACTGGAAATGAATTACACGCTTGTTTCAAGCTGACCTAGTGTGTGTGTGATGTCATATTTGGAAGAGTATTAAATGATCCGTGACATTACTGAGGTCTTATATGAATAAGGCGATCGTTCCAAAAATATATATATATCGTCATTTCCGTAAAGGTGTGATTCAAACAAGATTAGCAACAATAAAATTAATAGATGCGGCTTGATAAAGGCTGGTATTTGAGATAGTTTCAGAATGGACCTGTGGTCGACTCATGTGGTCTTTACGGGCGACTTGGTGCTCGCGGCACCGCGTCGGTGATCCCTGCTGTAGTCTATATAAAAATGACGAATACCATACTTGGCTATCTGGTAGATTGCAACCTAATTTGGTCAAGGTTGCTAGTCAATAACAGTTATATTAATTATAATTTCCCGATGCTTGATTAAACATTAAAAGCTTAGGTGTCGCTACTTGATAGGCAGATTTGATTTCCCGCTATCCTTCCCCAGTGAAATAATGTTCTCGAAATTTTGCGTAGTTTTGTATTCGTATCGTTTATTATTAGGCTGAAAGAAAAAATAATTTCTATTACACACTGTTCCTGCTTTAGTTCAATACAAATAAACGATAGTGCAACAAGACGTTTTATTACACGCCTTCATGTAGCAACAACAATACAGTAATTAAATAATTTCGCCGTTCAGCATTGCAATTATTTTCATTTAATTTATCAGAAACAATGAGGATGACGAAACAGTATTCAATACAGGTTCAACGTCGCATCAAAACATGATAGTTTAAGTTAATTTGTTCCATAATGAAGGCTATGGACAACTTTGAGTGGAACATTGCTCTGCGTTTCAGCTCTTCTATCGACACAAACTTGTTTTCTTGTTTCTCATTCGCACGCAGCTTTGTGCTCAGTATTCACGTGTTAACAATATAGTTTATCCATCCAATATGGTGTGATACCTGTGAAAAATGAAAATAGTTTATTGAAAAACCTAGCATTATAGATTGGAACTTTCTGCCACTACAGTGAGTTATTACATATACATAGGATTTGCAATCACTAGAATTCCTTCAATCATTAGCACGGTAAAATAAACATTATGTGTAATACAAGATTTCTAGCTTTCAGTATCCCTAGAAACGTTTACATATGCAAACATTTTACTCGCATCAATAATACACTAACCTTTGTGTACACGACAGGTTTGTTTTCTGCTGCACATCCATACCCCCACGATACAATTCCGACAAGTTTGAATCCACCATCTTCCATTTTAACAACCAATGGTCCTCCACTATCGCCCTGTTATAGTACAATTTTTGACGTGGCGTTAATGTTGAAATAAATATTGCTAATATTGTTTTAATTTTGTACCATATGTTACTATATTATGGTGGGGCAATTAAACATTGCTGATGCACAATACAGTTCGCTTCTATAAAGATATTGTTTGGACATTGTTGTCGCCAAAATTCTTTTTATATATATAATAGTTTGTTATATTCCTGTGCTTAAAATAATTCGATATGCAAAAATGACCTGGCAAGAGCCTTTTCCGCCATCTTCATAACCGGCGCACATCATGCCTTCCATAATATCACTCATTAGTCGTTTACAGCTGCTATCTTCAATAAGAGGCACACTAGCTTGATGAAGGAGTTCGTTGGATCCGGTATCTGTAATAAATCAGTTTTATAGACATATGTACATTTCAAACAAATCCACATTATGTTTATGTATTACAATTTTTAAGAAATACGTATGGCCGAGTCTATCGGTGTCTGGGTGTCGCTGCTCGTTAAACAGTTTTAGTTTCTCGCGCCACCTTTCACCTGAAATGCCATATTCAAGTCTCTTCTTTCTATTGTTCGCATGAAGTGTATTTTCTTTATGGCGATAAAATAAATACTGATTACAATCTTGGTTCAAATTCATACCCTTTTTATATTTGTAATGGTTTATACCTTATATTATTAGTTAACTTACTTTGCATCGTTCCCCACCCAGACACGATTCCTGTGTATTCACTTTCGGTGAGTCCGGTGCTGGGTAAACATATCGCAGATACAAATGAATTCATGTGAACTGGCCTTGTGGTCTGAAAGATATACTTTAGTTTATTAGATGTTTCCAGAAGAATATATGCACCCTGTTATCTGATAAAAATAATAGTTTTACATATATGCATTGGATAAAAATCATTGGTGCGGAGGAGTTTCATTTATTGCCTTTATGCATGACTCAGTTGGCACTGAATTGATAATAATCTATATAGTTTTTCATGTTACCTTCATCAATGCTATATCATTGTTTAAAGTCACCGAACTATAAGCATGATGACGAAATATGACGTCAAAATCGATCCTTATTTGATTTTCATTTTCATCATATTGGTTGTGGTCGCCAAGTAACGCAAAATATGATGTTGGATTCTGAGGTCTGTAAAGAGTCAACTCGGGTTAACTTTATTTATCTACGAGTAAAAAATCAATCCGATATAATATTTGGGAAGCTGAGGAGAACTAAATGATCAAATATTTGATTGAAGATAATTTATTTAATTAAGGAATGACTATAATTGTTGGTGAATACCGATTTTGCCCAATTGTCTAATTAACATCTCTTTCTAGAAATAGATAATTATTACAGATTCTATTTATAATCAAAGAACCCTTAGCTTAGATTAGACATTAGACCAAAGATGGACTAGAGAATTCACGCTTCAACTGGATTATTAATAGCAAAAGTGCTTCTGTGTGAAAATAGGGACAGTAGAACATTTTTATTAGTGGATGTTTACGTAACTCTTGACTAATAGAACTTACTGTGTTATGCAATGGGCTGCTGTAACTATCCATCGAACGTTTATCAATGCTCCCCCGCAAAAATGAGACCCAAAGTATGTTCGCCTGATCGAAGCCTGCCAAGGTATGCTTCCTGGGGTTACCTCGAAACCTGCGAAATTGAATCCGTTATTATTAAATATTATATATATACGAATAGGCACTCCAAACCTTTACGCGGTATATTTTGAGTTCCAGGGTATGAATAGTAAGAACTAATTGGTAGTGTTGTTGATTTAACATTCAAATAATATTCGCAAAAACTAATGATGTTATCTGCAACGATGACATCCAGAGTTACATCGGCAAAATACAATAATGATTATAATGCTCTGCAACTTCGAATCCTTGTGTTACAATGCCAGTATGTACTGCACTGTACTGCATTCCTGCTGCCGTTCCCATAGTTACTCGCACATATGTGCTTGGAGTCGTTTTTGGTTTTGCTTTTCTGTGTTTCGAGCGTCTCTTGGATTCAGGTCGTCTCGATTTTTCACTTCTTTATATTCTTTTATTCATTGTTTGACTTTTTTCATTGTTTTATGATTCATTCATTAGACTTTAGCTCAGGTGTCGCTGCTCGATAACCAATTTTGGTTTTCGCGACTCCTTTCACCTCCAATTATCCGTTTTTGCTTCCTTTTACATTCCGTATGCATTTAGTGTATTTCATGTGTGGTGAAAAAATAAACTACTGATTACTGAGTATGTAACCAATGCAAAATTTAAAAACAAACCTCCGATTATGTTTTCTAGGTCTTCTGTTTCATGAACTTCGGGAACACCTTCTAATATTGCTCTTCCAAATAAACTTGCTCGGTGATGATTGAAATCAGCAAACATAGGAGCAAATGCAACTCGTGATGTCGAGTGAGGTTTCATAGCAATTTGCGGCCTCCCGCATTGGATTGATAGACCATTGGTATCAAGGTTGTTATTCTCTGAGTAATAATAAATCAAAATCGACTCAAAATTAAAAAGGATATTGGACTCTCAAGAATAAAATAGTTTAGGCAACTTCTGGATATCGAACTATTTTCGATTTATTTGTTGCTTTCTCCTTAACGATTTATCTAAATCGGTACTCCCGTAGTTTGTGGGTGAGTGTGTCAGATTAGTGTTAGGCCTTAATTATATTCCGATTTTCCCTATTTTAGTTCTATTACGAGTTCGAGGACTGTCTGTGTTAGCCAAGTGAATATACCACCTGTCCATAGCCTTCCGTCCCTTCACAAAACTTGATGTAAAGTTGGCGAACAAAATTAGTTACATCCATATTGGTACACACACTTCTGGAGCGCCGGAAATAGTTTAGCTAGGTATCGAATTGGATATCGAACTACTTTTTTTCGTTGATTTCTATTTAACGATTTAACTAAAGCTACTGTTATCATTATTTTTGAATCGAAATTCACTTTTAATTGGTATTTCTTTCGTAGCTTATTAAACCAATATTCTTCTATCCAAATAGCTTACCAGTATCAGAGCACATCGGCACATCACAGTATTCCCAGTTTTTTGTTGGATCTACGGTAAAGCACCAAGGCCGCGTGTCATTGTCCGGATTCCTACAGTAATTATGGTCACCGAGATGCACTGATTCATATTGATCTCTTGGACTGAAAAGTAAAAATTATCCTCATAAACAAGTAATATATTCACTCGAGTTTGCCGTCGTCTCATCTGCTTGGCCCAAATAATATAATATTACAGAGTTTCGAACTTACAATAAATTCTTGTGGGGAGAACTTGAGTTCCAATACTGGCAAGTCAATCCTGTTGTAGTTGTAGACATAGTGCCCGTGTAACTTTGAGGATTTGATGAATTGTAGCAATCACGTCTCGTGGATTCCAGTTCTGGAATTGAATCATCTAGATTCAAAAACACAACAATCATAAAAGCTATAATTATCATTTGGTTTTGATTACTAGTGCAACCATAATACATATCCCGTTGTATTTTCAGTGGAATTTTATAGACATAAATAGAGAATCAAATAACACACACCTGTACAAATAACAACTTCACAATATTCCCACTGTTTGTTTGGATTTGTTGTGAAACACCAAGGTTTGACATCCATATCTGGATTTCTACAGTAATTGTTTTTTTCTAATCCAGCACCAGGGTGTTTGTCTGGGGAACTGTAATGGAAGTTATCAAATTATATATAAACATCGATTCGAATCGTGTCGAACTATTTTTTAGTTTTTTTGCAAGTATTGTCGGTTCGAGTCGAGATTAAGATCCACAACAAATAAAATACTGTACATATGATATTTCTAAAATGAATTACTTGTTGTGGAGTCGAGATTTGTAATTTACTTTTTATGAATCTTTAAAATGCCTTACTAGTTGTGCGGATGAGGTAACTGGCTGTCCCATCGTTGACAGGTATATCCAGAAATTGTGCGATAAACTGTTCCTCGGTAACTACCGGGTTCATCTGGTTTCATACACCCGCTGAAATTCTGAATCCGCACTGCTGTTGTTGGTGGCGGCGTAGTTGTGGTAGTTACGGTTGTTGTTGTTGATGTCGTTGTTGAAATAACTAAATATTATTTAATTAATGTATTATAATATTGCTCGTGGCATTCTTGAATCATTTATAACCTATATGCAAATATTCTGCATTATAAAATACCTGCAAAACAATTATATGTTTCCACACATTGGATTCCTTCATACCATCTTCCTGGACAGCCATATTCGCCTGGTAGACCACCGACACAGGAACGAGTTCTGAAACACAACAGCGTTCAGAATGATTGGTATTCGTGTTCGCAAAGATATTTTTCAATAATTTCATATTTTATTCACCTGTATCGCACGCCTCTCCGACATGTGACAGTACAAGGTCCATAGGTTGACCATGAAGTCCAATATGGAGTCACTGTAGCTCCTTCACTTGTTCTGTTGCCTTCAGAAAAAGTATGCGTTAAACACAAATCTTGGAATAGTCACAAAAAAGACTTCAAGAAAGATTATAAAAATACTGTACTTACCAAAGAGTATTGCAAAGAATATCAAAAATCGAAGTGCGATCATTTTATTCGTTCGTTGTTATGGTTATGGATAGGTTATCTGCATTTTTCACGCATTTTATAGGCGACTTGATTTGTGTTTTTCTCTAATTTAAAATAATGGGCAAACCTGGGTGTGAAGCGCGTTTGTGCCAACTTGGCGCCTGTGATAATTGTTGAGGATATTAAAATTTGTCAGTTTCTTTGTCTCTTACTGTTTATTATCATACAAGTAATTAGTAAACAATGCACCGGGCCTTTTTAACTAGACCTCACTTCTGAGAGAGAAAGATTTTTCCAAAATTTTGGCGACACACGTCCGACATAGGCTAATTATCGAAAATACTGAGTGGCGCCTGCTTGATGATGATTGTTTCTGCTTTGTTTCGATATTGTTGGCGTTAATTCCACCAAATGCAACATTGTATCATTTCAGTTGGAGCTTGATAATTTGTTTGCTATGAACTCTCCTTCGTCACGATATGTACAAATTGTATAAATAAATAAGTAGGCGGCATCATATAATGATATAAACAATATCCATGGAACTGACATTTTAAAGATAGACAGGATATTCCCGTATATGCCTGGTGTGTCGCTGCAAAATAATTCGATAATATTATTTTGAACAAATTTGTTCACAATCTTAGTCATGGCCATAACCCCGTGGCTGAAATGGAATGATGACTAAAAAAATTATAGATTTATTCCAGCGATAGAGATGCCAGTAGATACCAGCTGGCAAATGACGACAAGAAAACGCCGTCCTATGTACAGAAAAGCAAATAAATTTTCAAATGGTTAGTGTTTGGAAACACCTTCAACATAAACTTTAGTAATGCTCCAAGTTTAAACAGGTATTTACTAATATAGTCAAAATAACGAAAACTGTTTTAGAATGATTGTGGGAAGTTGATGCGGACAGATTTGATTTCTATAACTAAACTACAACCACATATCATCGCGAGAATATCGTATGGCTGGATTATTCGGCACCGCTTCCTATGTCATTTTCTTCATAAACCAAAGAAAATAGAGGGGTTAGCTAATTCCGTGTTTTGTTATGTTATTACGATCCGTTTACCTTCCACCATAAGGAATCTTATCATATTTTATGTATTTTATAAAATGTTTTTGATTATGTAAGAGGTCGTGACCTTTCCCGCCAAACAGCGCAACATCTTGTTTCTGTGGTAAACAGACGCTTTGGGGGTAGTTGCTGGAGCGTGTTCGCAAGCGTGGGGTCACTGTTCATCTTTCTTTTGGGAGTTATATTGACTTAAATTGGAAAGAACGCTTTGACTTTGGAATATATTACAGACATTAAAAAGTCCACACGATGGACGGGTTTCAAAAAGTTGAGAAGATTGGCGAGGGAACATATGGCGTTGTTTACAAGGCCCGAGATAAAGTGACTGGAAACATGGTTGCTCTGAAAAAAATCAGACTGGATACGTGAGTTCACCATACTGAATTAATTTATATGTTGGTTAGCAGTTGCTTGTTACTTCCCTTATCATTAATTTCTGGGGTCTAGTGTAGATCATATCTAAAGTACCAGTACGGTACCGTACTTCTAGTGGGCGTAGCATAACAATTTTTGCATATCTTAATCCTTTTAATTTGAATTTCTCACTGCTGGATTGTCACAACTTTTGCAATTTTAGTGAAACTGAAGGAGTCCCAAGTACAGCAATCCGAGAGATTTCACTTCTGAAGGAGCTTGATCATCCGAATATAGTGAAGTGAGTTATTAATGCATTGGGTTAATGAATAATCAAGTACATACCTGCATACTGCTGTATACAAGTCATTTATGATCTCAAAATACTGAAATATGCAGATTCCTCATTGTATAATTACATGGCAATGTAGTAGGGCACTTCTGAACTACTAAGGTCAGAATGATATATTTTAAAATGAAAAAAGACAACATTGTAAAATATGTAATGTTGCGAACAATTAGAATCATTGATTTCAGGATTTTATTATTATTTTTGTGCAAATCTTACAATCTAAATGGCTGACTCTCTTTATCAAACGATTGTATATACAGTATTTCGGTTAAGACATCTTTAATTAAAACGATCAATTTATTTTCAGGTTGCTTGATGTGATACACAATGAGAAGAAACTTTATCTTGTTTTTGAATTTTTATCGCAAGATCTTAAGAAATATATGGATTCACAACCAAAAGGGCTTCCCTTGCCTTTAGCAAAAGTATAAGACTATGCGTTATTCTCGTAGTACTTTTTTTATTACTGCAAGTGTCATACTGATCACTTCCGAACAAAGCGCATACACATGATGAAATGTGCCACTTCTCAATGCCAATATGGAATGTATTTTTAATCAGATTTGGGTTAATTACAAGCCAAACTACTTGTTGAACACAAATAATAATTTGTCTAATTTATTATTTGCACGAATATAATTGCCAGTGTGTCATTTCATAATGTTCTCGACTTTTTGATAACTTCAACTTACTACATGCAGGCTGGGTGTTGTGGCTTGCGATCACATCTCTGAGTATAGGATTGCTTCACTGCCGCAGGGTGGTTCACATTACTGATGGTTGATTACGACTTCCCACAGCATCAAGTCCATGCATCTGAAACAAATAACCTACTAACATTTTATCGCCTTCTCTCTTCCTCAGGATAAATATGAAAATCCTATCCAACCTGTGTGGCGCTCCTAAATTTATTGTACTTTTCAATGAATTTTTATTATATGGGTAAAATAAAATAAATTTTTTTTAGAGTTACTTGTATCAACTTCTGCAAGGGATTTCATATTGTCATTCTCATAGAGTTCTTCATCGAGATTTGAAACCACAGAACTTACTAATTGATAAGAACGGTTGCATTAAACTTGCTGACTTTGGACTTGCAAGAGCTATTGGAATGCCTGTACGAATGTATACACATGAGGTATGGTGGTAGGCGAATCCAGCTATCAGTTGGGGTGACATGGGATTAACTACCTTTTTTGCTCTATGCCTCTACGCAAGTGGATGCGTATATTGCAAGGATGTTGTAGCAAGAATATAGATGACTATTCTATTTAATTTAGGAGGCCTGGATTGAATAGAATTCTATTTTAGTATGCATATATTTTAGTATGGGAAAGAAATTTTTCTGTTGGACGAATTGTTAAAAAGATAATCTTCTATTCGTACAATAGATGTTTTTCATGAACTATTTATTTTGAACATTTTTGAGTATTTCGTAGAAAATCAATATTAAATTGTTTTTTTGTTCTCTTCTAAACTACTTTTATATGAAACTGGATTGTGATTTACCGTACCTTTTATTATTATATTTCAGGTAATCACATTGTGGTATCGACCCCCTGAAATATTGCTGGGAACTAAAATGTATTCAACATCGGTGGATGTTTGGAGTATTGGATGTATATTTGCTGAAATGGTAAATGCCTTTTTTGTACCAATTTTTTATACAATGTTCTTTCGTGTCTTCTCTTCAAACAAAGAGTAAAACAAGCAGCCACTGATGTGTGGATGGTTACTATTTTCAAAAGAATAGTAATCTTTCCAGTTTGTTTCCGTTATTTGTCCAATCTTTGGAGGATCATATTCATACACACAGTCTGCACTCTGGATTTTGCAGTTCAAATAAATATGTATTTCAATGATACATTGAATTATATTAGTAAAAAAACTACATTTCTGTATCTTATGTGAAACATCAAGATTCCTCTCTGGGTAGAAATTCCTCACTGACGGGAAAACATTGCATTAGGCCATCAGTAGGTCATACAATATTAATGGAAATTTGATCTATTTCTTAGTTTAAATTTACGATCTTGTTACTCTGTGAACAAACCACTTGATCAAATCATCTTTGCTGTTGCAGGTTCATAAGAAAACACTGTTTGCTGGAGACTCTGAAATTGATCAATTATTTCGAATATTTCGTACACTTGGCACACCTGATGAATCCAATTGGCCAGGTGTTACCTCTATGCCAGATTTCAAAACTAAATTTCCTAAATGGCCAAGACAACCAATCGCAAAAGCGGTACCAGAACTTCCACCCAGCGGCATCGAAGCACTAGAGGTTAGTAATTATTCAAAGTAGTGTAGAGACTTTCTCTTGGCAAAAGTGAAATTATAGTATTGAAAATATATACCTTAGTTTAATATTTTCAATGCTTATTCAAGCTTTTTGCTCCAACAAGGCTCTACATAAGCTGGCACTGATTTGGAAGGACCGAATCATTCTGGTTCAGCATTACCTATCCATTTTTTTCACCCCGAGTGAGGTGGAGGGCATGGGATTTGAACTGAATTGTGAAATATGTGGCACCAGCACAGTTATTAAGTTGAACACTTTTACCGCTAGGCAGTTTGGCATAATTTATGACAAAATCTGCATGGATTCAGATAGTATCTTTATTTTATCTCCCATCATAAACTGAACTAAAATTCGTATACATCATTTTCAAATGAAGTTATGTTGCGTTACATTTGGCAAGAATGAATGCAATGCTTGGATTGATTGGAGTTATTAGTCTCAAATCTTATATGTTCCGAACATGATTGTGAGACAATTTGACGTTTCCCGTCCTTCACTGAAAATTCTTGACTTCTGATCATTCAACATGAAGAATGTTACCTGCAATTTGTAAACTTCGATAATGGCAGGGAAATAATTATAACTATTCTACATCATAGATAGTGCTGTGACGCCAAACTTTTGCATTTTCCACTTCAAATTTTTTCTTTCTCCTTATCTCTGCTGAGTGCAATGCAAATTTTTTGTACATTTCAGTTGCATTTATCTGCGATACATTTTGAATCAACAAAAATCTTATGTTATTTAAATTTCAGTTGATGCTGGTATATGATCCTCTGCAACGAATATCAGCCAAACAGATGCTCAATCATACTTTCTTTTCCGAAGTTTTTCTACAGAAACCAGATATTTGTTAAGATGCTTCCAAAATACATATCTTTAATTACACCAAGGTAGATAGCTATGAACGCTAAATGAGCTTTTATGTGTGCATTTCTGTTATTTTTCACCATGTTTAAATTGTTACATTCAATAGATTTTGTAAATAGTCAGCTGGTGATTTAGCAGGATTATTTTTCGGCTCAGGTTTGGCGATTGGCTCACCAATTTCCTGATTGTGTGAAATCTTGTAAAATATTATTTAGCGGTGCTCTACTGAAACTCTCTGATATATTTAACCCCTATAGTTTACTTGAACCGGGGTTGTCTTAAACGAATCGAATATAAAATTAGTCATATCGATAAAATTAGTTATATTCTAAATGTCTCGTTATTGTTTGGTAATTTGTAGCCTTGTGCTATTGACACCTAACTATCGACCAAAGCATTTAACCTCTTAATCAGAGAATATGCTTTATAAATATACAATGATATCCTCACCTAACACTTTCAGAATGGACACAGAATATTAGATTATATACCGGTAGATTGGCCATCCCTGAGCTGAGTCCTGCTTAAGAACCACTGAGCTAACCATTTCTTTACTTAATAATGTGTTGTTTTCGTTTTATTTTAGTTTGAATATTTTATTATGATTTTTGTTTAGATTTGTAACTTTTACAATGCTGTTTTATAAGCTTTTTGTAGTTTTTACTGGCGCCTCTTCTTAGCCTTTATTACATCATAGTGGTTGCACTGTTTGTTGTATCGCTTTTGTATTGTACTTTTAAGAATAGGATTTTAATAATTTCTGATCCTAATATACTGCATGTGCCTTGACGTTTGTATTTTTAGAATTGGATAGTTATCCTTCCTTTTGTGTCATATTGGCCATAAATATTTAAATACTTAGCTATTCAAAAATTTGCACCAATGTCAATTATTCGAATTCAATAAAATTATGACATATGTATATTTTCAGATTCATAATTTATTCATCTCAATTTTACACATTGTGAAAATGGCAAATTTCAAGTAAAATTTATTGCTCATTTCAGATCCCATTAAAACGAGTACCTTGACAATCATAGTTTACGTAGGTATTTGTACAATTTTTATTTTGCTCACTTTTTACTCCGTTGGGTTCTTGATACCCTATTTTGTAAAGAAGTACTGGTAGTTGTTCCATATATACATTCTTCCATGTATAAGTATACTATTTGAATTATTTGTTCTGAAGCCAATCATATGTTACTCAATCATCATTTTGAGGTCACCAATGAGTGCTTTTATAACATTAGCAATCATATATTCAGATTCCAGGTGCATCAGTGATTCATTTCTTTGTTAGAAAATATTAATTTTCAATAAAATATTCAAAAATAAGCTTAAGAGTGGATTGAAAATTTCTACATGGGGTTTGCTAGCAACTCAGTGTGATAATAGACATAACATGATTAGACCGTTATCTGGAGACTTCTCTCAGACTACACTGCAATGGTTCCCAACCTTTTGTGCTAAATTTCTCTCCTCGCCTGTTTTAGAACTCTCCCTCTATGCATGGTGCGTAAATACCTCATTTATTCGATCATTAATGGCTCCGCAGCTAGTGTAAAGCAGAAGTCGCACTCCTGCTTTCGTATACTTAAGTAGTTTGCAAATGTGTGAGCAAATATTACAGTAACAATAAATAACAGAAGAATATTAGTGATACATCCACAAATACCTCTCAAGAACGACGAAATTCCTTCCCATTTTCAGAACAACTGAACCCAGGCTTGGTAAATTGAGTTAATCTCAAGACGGGCTTTGACCAACTCAGTGTTTAACTGATCTATTCAGGATTATTTTAAAATGATTGATGAAAACCTTTGTTCAATACCAGCCAGTTTGAGATCAATTCAGAACAGTGTATCATCAGATTTTAGCAATGCTTGTCTAACCAATCTTTCCAACTCACCATCCCTAATAATATTGGCTCGGAAGTGTAGCACATAACGCTGAGCATCTCTGATTATCTTGCGTCACTGCTGGTCGGTTATGGCTTCCTCCACCATCAAGCCCATGCTCCGACCAACTAATTCCATAACCAACATGAAATGTTAACCAGACAATAACTATGCAAATCCTTTTATTATTAAGCACAACAGTTTGCACCATAACAGCAGAGGCAGTTCAAGTATCTAGACCAGGGGTGGGTAGTGTTGGGGTCGGAGTGAAAAGTAGGTAGGGTCGCAAACAGGCTATGGGGTCGCTGAGGTATGGTAGAGGATAGATGTACAAAACATTTAGGATTTAACAAATCATGTTGAATTTTGCAGTTTGTACCATGGCTTCCTCTAAAACAGAACCTCGCCTCGCACTGTTTGGTTTTAGCTTATTTTACTTAATACCACCACATGACCAAACTCAAAAGTCCAGTGAATAAAGGTTTAAAGTTACATGAATAAAGTATATATTGACCTGGGGTCGCACTGGACACTTGAAAGTTGTCTTTGGGGTCGTCCTGAAAAAAGCTTGGGAACCCCTGATTTAGACTATATATTATGTTACAGATGTGTTCTGGTCTCCATTGTTTGATCACACTGGCGGCAAGCCTGACATATATCAACAAAACGTGTTGCATTGAAAATTCGTGTTTGATGTCACATTTGAAAAAAAAGAGAAGAAACATTGAATCATAATAATCACATGCGCATAAAAAGTATTCTGCTGCAAAGACATGCAAGATAACATTGCCATTATTTTTGTTTTGAGTTCAGTCAAATCTCTATTTTTTCAGAAACTGTTTTCCAGGATTGCACAAGGCATCTTTGCCAGAGGCGCATTCTATCAAAATTTCATCCAAATCAAGCTATTTATTTGACAACCAAAATACAGTCAGCAAACTATTTTCCATCAGGGATGTCCATACCCCCCGATTTAATATTCTAGAAGTCTTCAATACGAACATAATCCAACATATTTTGTGACAGTTGTTTTGCTAAACCCTGAGAATTTTACGGATCAGGCAGAACTTGGTATTTCGAAATGTCCAAACGCCACCGGCCATAGACAGCATCCTATGCAAAATACAGAATGTTTTATAAATATTGTCAGTAGCCTTATGGTGGCTAACCTCTTAATTTTATAACTTACAATCGAATTCCAACCAAAATTGAAAGCCTGAAACATCAAATTTCAAATGTGTGTCTTCATTATCAATGATTACCATACTTAAATGAATTATCCCGTCCCCAACAAATACAAAACTGACCATGTATAAATTCGATACAAACCATTACCAAAATATGTTGTTCATGATCATCATCATGATATATTTACTCTCCAGATAGAGGCACTTTCAGTACATTTTCCTACTTTCTACAAATACTATTTCTTGACTGATTTATTATTCAAAATATTTGGACATCCCTGGACATAAACATCCATATTTCAGGATTTTGTAGAGATAGGAACAATATCTGATAAACAATCGACACACAAAACATTTATCATCTAACTTAAACATTATTACTAATAAATTCCTTCAGAAATTGTCAAATACATGATAAAGCACAAAATAAACAAACTGGTTGTAAGTGTGTGATATATACACAAATAGATATAATTTGTCTGTTCCAAATCCAAAAAACTGGAACGCTTTCGGAAATATGTCATTATTCAGGCTATTCTGAACTCATCGATAATAATTTAGTATCTTTCATGAATTGAATTATAATATAATGATGATTTGGTACTCCAGAAGTATGTGAACCAAGGTGGCGGACAACAGAACGTAGTATGTGTACCAGGTTACGCAATAATTTGATTCCAATTCTCCTTATTTTAGTTCTATTAAGAGTTCGGGGACTAGCCAAGTGACTCCCACAGTATTTGTACCTGGAATTATGGCCTAACCCTGACCTGGTACACATACTTCGTTCCGGTGTCCGCTATCTTGGTTCATATACTTCAAGAGTACCGATGATTTTATATTTGACAGGATCATAATTTAATCATGATTCAATATTCCAATAGATCAAGTTGTTATACATTTTTAATTACGATGTACACACAAAATTTAATCAGTTTAAGTCAAGACCTAATATTATATCTTTCATGCAACACTTGAGTATGATGGCCATTTAGATAATATTATTTATTTATTGCCGTAAGATGTACCAAATTGAGCATTCCAAAGAACGCCTACATCATTTGATTATTGGGTAGTGTGTGTACCAACTTAGGCCGTAATTTAATTCCAATTTTCCTTATTTTAGTTCTCTTACGAGTTCGGAGACCGCTTGTGTTAGCCAAGTGAATATACCTCCTGCCCATAGGTTTTAGTCCCTTTACACAACTTGATGTGAAGAAGGCGAACAAAATTAGTTACCTCCATATTGTTACACATCTGGAACGCCGATTATTGTTAGCTTTTACATTACAATCAAAGTCATTACAAAAACTTTTAACTCTCATAAGTTCAACGCAACAGACAGTGACAGAAAGCCATTGCTTAAAATTTGAGACAACTTCAGCTCCAATATTTTCACTAATTCTTTGTATGAGAAAAGTCTGGTTTACAAAACTGTGTTCCACAAATCACTTTCAACTACATTTAATTCATTTATCAACTTTTGTGACAAATTTCCTTCCTCTTTAGAAGAAACATCCTCTTTAAAAATTTGAGTACACACACACACATGAACAAACATTAAAATGACGATACACACACTAATTCAAAGTTTGGTAATAAACAAAAATATAGAGTCCATTATTGAATAGTACAAAATCTATCCTAAAATTCATTGCAGTATGTCAAACTTTTTTGTTATTTGCGCAGAATTTTCGACATCAGGATTTTTTTCAAACAATTGTATCAGACCTAAATCTCACCATACAAATGTATTTCAAATAAACTTTTTTCCCCAAATAATAGATACCATGTCACCATGCCTTTTGAAAACATTTTCACTTAGGAAATGAACTACCAGTGAATCACTGTAAAACCAAAAGATTTTCACAATGACAGATCATAAAGTAAATAATTGATGGAATATGTTAGATACTGGTCGGGGTGTCCAAAATAAGTCCGCTGAATTGCTGTAGGATTACAAAATCTCAAAACGCTGGGAGTTGAAATTTTCAACAGGAAAGAAATAAAGTTTTCACATTGGCAGAGTTTTCGAAGCGAATCCTGATTTCAAAATTGGCATGGAATATTTCTCAAACTCTGCAGCTGTGCATTCGAACAATGAACCATGGTGCCCCGAGTTTATTTTGGATTATGTGGTAACTCCTTTTCACATGAAGCATAATGAATATTCCTATCTGGAGTACTTGTAGTACAGAAGAAGATTGAAACAGGACTATGGACAACCCTCACCAGTAAGTAACATTCTAGATGTAAAACGTGAACATATACAAGGTTTAATAATTCGCATTTATTGAGCAACATTTAAAATAAACTTTTCCCTTTTTGCAATGATACCACTTTACTATTATATTTCGGTCCATATGGATAACATAAACGAATGGCACACTTGGGTTGTATCTATCAAGTTTTTGTCAGTTTTATGTAAGTTCTCACAACATTTATTGAACCCTAACCCCTCAAACCCCATTTTCAGAAGAAAAAAATATACCATCTACATGTACGACATAATAGTTTTCTACAAACATGTTTATGTGAGAAGAAAAAAAGCGTGAACATTATTTGGCAAAAAAATGAAACTGACAATAAATGACACAGAAATCGCGATGTCGATAGTAAATGTAAAAAAGAGCCGCGAGAATAAATGTGGAAAAGAGCAAAAATCAAAGAAAACAATTGCAAAAAAAATTGAAAAGTAGAACTTCAAACCAATACTATAGAAAGAGCGTCAAACACAAGTAAATTTGCTATTAGAAATTATTTCCAAGATTTAGAATATTTAGCCATTTGAAGAGGATAATTAAGTAAATGAAAATGTGCGAGTGACAAAATAAGATTGTACTTAGAAATTCTTATTGTTTTATTACTTCCTGAACTGGCAAATATTAAGTTTGGGCCATATATAACACTTATTGAATGCACTCCTTCTACTGTTCATAACTGTCCAAGACTAAATTTATTATCCTATTTATAATGATAAAATTATTGAATCACTACGTAACCTCCATTGGTTGATTATTTTTACTACTTTTGCTGTTTAAACCCGGCGAGTCATTTACAATATTATCAGTCTGCGTATTCAACGGGGCAGGTGTTTGTCCTCCGTCTTTATTTATTACGCATGACTGCTCAACTATTGGAACATTTTTGGCAGAAAGCATAACAGTAGCATTGTTTTTCTGTGGATGTGGTATTGATATCAATGACTTTGGTGTTGAATTAGTTCTGTTATCTGAAACCAAAGCTATATGTGGCGAAGCTACGGCTGATTTATTATTAGCATTGTTAATAAGAGAAGTAGCTTGCCTCGAATTCGCTATATTAATCGTTCGAGTTACTCCTACTGTAGGTTGTTGTCCACGAGGTCGTTTTGAAATAACGGTCAACGATTTATTGGTCGTCCCCATTTTAAACCCTTGATTAACGGGATGGATTTGTATTCCCGTTGCTACACCTGCTGGACCGAGTTTGAGGATATTTGGACCAGAACCTGAAGTTACCCAAGCCGATCCAGTGTGTTGCGAAGCTTGGGAAGCAGTCAGTGTCCCAACGTTTCCATCAGGGTGTTGTTGCAGTGTGAAAATCTGCCCCATGCCACTCGCGGATGTTTGTACCCTTGCAACATTAATGCTGACTGTCTTTGTCTGGTTTAAATTTATTCCGCCAGCCGTTCCACTTTCCAGGCCAGGAGCGCCATGTTGGGGCAGACTCGAAGCTAATGTACCACTAGCTGGAGTAGCGATTAAAATTGCTGAAGCATGTCCGCTGCTATTGGGTATAGAAAGTTGGGACAATGTAGCATGTTTTTGCGGTGTTGAGGGTGTTAGCGCTAAGTTTAAAGACTGTTGCCCCAAAAGTTGGGTCTTATATTGCGGATGTATCAGTGATGAATTAACTGTCGATAAAGTCAATGGAACACTGGAATTCTGAATTTCATTCCCAGCATGTTTCGACTGATGGATTCTAGATGTTGGAGTTACGAAACGTGTCGTTGGTGTAATGAATACAGTACCGGTTGCACCGTTTGAGTTATCACCGGAGTTTGTACCTTGGCTGTTGATTGTGTAAGAGCTTGCCAGGAGGGGATGAGAATCTGAATTACTATTCACCATAGCACTGCTACTAGTTACTGAATTCCCTATTCTCAAGGTTGCCATAACAACGGGCATAGTTGTTGATTTTTGCAATGCCGTTGCATTGGTCAAACCATCAAGCGTCATTCCACTTTGATTTGAGTTTTTGTTTAATCCAATACTAGAGTGAGGTTGGGCCATTGTTAATGAAACTACTCCGCCTGAAGTCGAAGACCCACAAAACGTTGTTAAGGATTTTGACGTTGGTCCAGTGACAGTGAGAGTTACAGATGTACTTGTCGTTGATTTAGCGTGTAAACTGGAAACAGGCATGAGAGTGGCGTGCATTTTTTCATTGCCTTTCACTCCAAACAGTTTCGTATGATCTATTGTGAATTTACTGATAGTTTTTGGTTTTTTAACTTTTGGTGAAGATTTATCGAGCGCCGATGTTAAGTTTGTGACGTATTTTCCAGGCGAAGTTACTGGTAATCCACCAATCAGAGTCATAGCCACTGGAGTCTGACGAGCAGGCATTCCGTTTGAGGTGCTAGGTGAACTTGCGGATACGACATTTAATTTAAGCTGCTTCCCAGCTTTTACTCTTTGTTTATTTGGAGAATCTGAAAAATTAAAAGAGAACTATTAATGAAAATTTCAAACTTGAAAAACTAAAAAATAAAAATTGAGAATAAGATAGGGTCAAATTTAGTCGGCGGTCAAATTTAGGACGAAAAAAAATTGTTTAGCAGGTATAATTACATACCTGATGTCATTAATGCTGACACGGCAAATAAAGCAGATGGTTTGTCCAATTGCCAACTGGGTACTAAACAAAGAAAAAAAAGTATGTCCAAAATTTGACTTTACAGAAAATCATTTACATACAACTGAGTATATTATGTATAAAATTGCCTATATAAGGTATGATCAACCAAAACTAACTCAAAAAAGTGTTCCCTTATGCAGAAGAGTTATATATATGTTACAAACAGACATTGGGAACACATTTAATAACATTCAAATTTAATAATACCCACCATAAGATACTCACTCAAAAGTACTACAAGCTAATCTAATCAACTACGTTACATACCTAGTACACGTTTGTGAGGTGTGGTCCTATGTTTCTGAGGTGACGACCTAAATGAAACAATGGTATGTTAGTCTTCAACAAATGTTAGATAGATTGTGCATACTATACCAAATGGCAATGATATACAGTAAATTTATATCTAATTTCTATTCTAAAGTCTGTCTCCAAATGGAAGAATGACAAAAAAAACTTGAAACTTACTTGTGTGGGGACTTCTGTAGAAGCCTTTTATGAAGTAAATCTGAAAAACAGAAGGCTTGTTTTAAAAAAATTAAATACTATTAACTTCTAAATTCCAAAATTATTTTATATCTTGTGGGAACCAGGAGAGTGAAGTGGTCATTATACGCAATACAAGTATTTATGAAAAGTGCCAAAAAAGTTTTGAATTTCATAAACTTCTAAAAATGCCCAATTAGAAAGCAATTAGAGCCAATCAAATCTGTTTATGAAGAAATTTATAGCGGTTTGTAAATTGTGTAGCATTATTGTCAACGAAGAAGGGTAGGAGCTAAATATAATACACTGCAAATTATATATAACCAAATATAGAAACCTGTTCGTATATTTTCATCTGTTGTCATAATATCAATAGTTTCGGAATCCGATGAATCCACAGGTTGAGACTTGGTCACTGTGATGTATGTATTAATAATAAAATCAGGTGAATAAGAAATAGTTGAAGATATGGCCAAAAACAGATTATTTTGAATACATTCTAAAATGATATTTTCGACGATGGAATATTCAATGTATTTTAAATTGGGTCACAATCAACAAAGTGCACGTAAAAAGCAAGGAATACTCCTAAATTTAGAAAATGGGGGAAAGTGAAGATGAACAATGTTTCTCTATTTTTCCGAAATTTCTATTCACACAGTGAAACTTCAATTACTCAAAATGATGATTTTTCAGATATATATTTTAAAGTGTTCCTAAAATTAGGAATTCAAAATATTGAATATAATATGTTAATTTGAATTGATTTGAATATTTAACATTTTGGAACAATTTAGTTGAAGCAAAATCCAAAACTTGAAAGGATCAAGTTTTTTCAGTCATTGTTATGAATATGACATTCCAACAAACAGAAAACTAGGGAAGCAGAAAGAATCCAGTGTAAGGAATTAGTTTGATAATAGCTTATTAGCAAATATATGAATAGATATACAAATAAACAGAGCTATCAGTTGAGGTTACACAGGACCATATTCCTTGCTCTATGTCAGGGGTCGGGAACCCATGGCTCGCGAGCCATATATGGCTCTTTTGGTGACGGCATATGGCTCCCAGAATAATCTGATATTCTAAGACTAAGCTTACTATTGTTACGAGCCTTCAAACTCTTTTATAGCCAATTTTGGCAGGAAATTCCCAAAACGTTTTGAGAACGCGCGCCCAGCACATGTCTATGTTATGTAAGATAATCACCAGACAGGCATTGTGACAAACAAGGGGATTCTAGAACATATATTGTGACATCACAAAGCGATAGAGTTTTAAAAACACTACGGAAATGCCTAAACGCAAAAGGGTGATGAGTACCGTAGATTTCAACTTGGGCTGCATGTGAGCAACCGTTCAAGGCCCGCAGCGACAACATGCAGCATCAGAAATCACATTAAATGTATATTGACATTGTATGTGTTGACTTTTGAGTAAACATTTCAGGCCTGATTAAGTGAAGAAATGTTATATGGCTCGCACGGAAATGCAATTGAAAATATGTATATTTTATGGCTCTCTTGACCAAAAAGGTTCCCGACCCCTGCTCTATGTGATAGTAGATCTGTATGTGTATAATGCGAAGATACGATAGCCAGAGTAAAGATGATTATTCCATTTGATTCAGATAACCAATTGAATGAAACAAATTTTTGAATTGCAACGAAAATATTCAAAAATTCCTACCTTTCTTAGAAGAGGAATGTTGTTTGACAGGAGTCATCATTGGCGAAGTTGAGGAATGACCAAACGGTTTTAAATCAGATAATTTACGATTGTCTTGTTGCTCTTGTTGTAATTTTAATTTATGAGCTTTATGTGATAGAGGATCGTACGGCCTGTACCTCCTCCATCGTCCGTGTTTAATTTCTAAAATTATAAAAGAGAGATTAATAAAAATGAATAAATATACAAATTTTTTTAAGCAGACTATAGGCTAAAATTGCTATAAATTCATAGTATAGATAACAGATGGACACAAAGATTTATGAAATCAGGCTACAAGGCCATAAAACAGATAATAATCATCTGCTAGCGGAGATGTCCAGATATTGATTATTTGAATACCTAAATTGCAGAATGATTTAGTACAGTTTCATTTTAAGCAATTGAAGTCTAATTATATGACCTAAGGACCATTTCTGAAAATTTCGAATCATTGTTTATATCTTTCATGCATTTCCAAATTAAAACTCATTAAATATGTATTGACTTCTGTATCTGAAAATTATCCAATTTTAAGTTTACTCATTATTCCATATTCAAAAATATTTATTTCAAGATGTCAACGGATAGGTAGATTAATTAATTCACTGTGCATAACAGTTAAATTTTAATGCAAGACTTGGGGAGAGCACAAACAGTCTGGATATGATAGCATTTATATATTTTTCCTGGCTGAAAGGAAAGCTGACAAGACAACTTAACCATACGGTGTACTACGGACTCTTGTCCACTTTATATGTATATGTTGGGTATGAGATTAGTTAGCAAGTTATTTTTTCAGAGGCATGGACTTGATGATGGAGGAAGCCGTAACTGACCAACAGTTATGTGTAAAACCCAAATCCGCTTAAAAAATGCTAACCTTCTAAAAGTTCCTGTAGATTTGGTTTGTGAGGTAGATGATTTGCTTCTGGATGAAGATCAATTTCTGATAATTGTTTATTCCAAGGTGTATAAGCTCTATCAAGCATTACTCTGCCTCCACGACCAACTCTGTTTACAACAATAATTTACATTTTTATCTTCAATTTATTGTCAATTCAGAGTAACTAAAAATATATCATTTTCATGGAAAATTTTATAAATATGTATGGGAAGTAATGATGAATAAAACTGAAATTGTATAACTGGCAATGATTTAAAAATAATAAATTCATGAATCATCCAACCTAAGTTTGAGTAAACCTGGCAAAACTTGATGCAAAAAAGATCAGTCCGAGCATTTATAGTTAAGATTACGCACAGGATTCTAGTATGCCAATCACAAGATCTTGCTAATTTTTCGAATCTCAATAACCATTAAGAATATTGAAGGTTATAGAATAATGAGTAGACTGCTTGACATTATCTTTAAAAAACAAATAAAAGACTCACCTTCGACGACAGAATCCCATACATTTTTCAGGCATAGTTAAAGTGGTTAAAGAATAACGGTGTCGATCTTCGGTCATCCAAGGCCAGTGATCACCCGATAATTCATCCCTGGGCTAAAAATATAGACATTTGCATCATCAATCAACATAAATTGCATTCAGAACCTATTATTAGCTTTAGTTCAACAGAGTGGGATGACAATTGGATATCATGCGATTGTTTTCTTGGGCAAACGTTTCACCACATGAGAGATTTCTTCCCAGAAGGAATTTGAATTTTTACTAATATTTTTTACTTATTTATTGTACTTGTACTCATTATTTTTTTCATTTATTTAGTATTATTGTAATGCGTATATTTGCATACATTATAAACTATTTGAAATGTACAAAAGCCAGAGCACAAAATTGAACGTATCGCAAGCAAATGGCACAAAAATTAAATGAAAAGTACTTACTGCATTATATTTGCATCCCGGTTTTCTTCTGAAAGCATATAATCCATCAGGATTTTTCTTTCTCTCATCAGCAACAGATGATGGTGCTACTGACCCAGAAGTCTAAAAAACAATGAGAAATTTTAGTATCAATGCATTAGAGATAGTTTTAAGGCAAGAAATATTGTAACATTATTCGTTTTCTTGGTTTATCTCATTAATCTATTCGATTCCAGAGTCGTGCAACAGCATCCATACGTAAAGGGGCATTGAACAAGGAAATTTCTTGCATAGCTCCAATTTATAATTACGTTATCTCACTAAATAATGAAAAGATGACAACTTTGTGATTCTTACCGGACTCTTTGGTCTGGCGGTATCTTCATCGCTTGAGTGAAACTCATATTGTCTCATAGTATCAAACACATGCTCATATGTGAAAGTAGAACCAGGTGACTTAGGTGTAGAACCATGTGCTGGAGGGTGTTGAGAAGGCTAAAAATGTAGCGATGAAAATGTATTGAAGTCAGTGAAGTAATATGATGAATTGTTAGGGATAAGATGTCATTTTTATCCAAGGGAGAAAAGCCGAGAAGACGGCTCGATTTACAGTGTAAAACGGGCCTTGTTCGGTTAGCAGTCATGTCAGGTATGGCATTAGTTTAGTCAGTATTCGTTTCAGATGCATGGACTTGATGGAGGAGTAAGCCGTAACTAACGTGGAAGCTGTACGCGGGTATGTGAACCACCCTACGAAGATCAGAGTCCAGAAATCTTATCACACATAATAATGACCCACAGGATTCAAACCTGCAAACCCACGCAGGGTAATCACAGGCTTGACGACAAAAGAATTCCTAATGATTAGTTTGATGCATCACCCAACGCATCAGTGTCGCTTCTGCGATATGTATGGAATATTATGTGGAAATTTCACTGCAGAATTGATGACCAAAAATAATTTCAAATTAGCATGGCCACGACTTATGTTCCAAATAAAGGGGAAATTCTGCTATAAATTCACCCACTAATATTTTTTAAAAAAGCTGAATTAAAATTGTTTCAAGGCAGGAGGATATTTAAATTTGAAAGATTTATACAAGAAGTTCTGAGCGTTTTTGCAATATAACTACATAGATAATGAATTCAATCATTAATTGAAGAAGATTTACCTTGTGTGGGGATGGGCGAAGGACATTGGATGTGAGTGAACCTGAGCCTGCAGCAACAGGTTGGTTTGTTGATGAAGATATAGAACTTGCAACAGAGGCTGAAGGTAACCGTAGTCTGTCATGCTTGTTCTTTTTAGATCGTCGTTTTTCTTTTCTGTTCGTTTAAAAAAAAGAGATGACGTTATTCGTTGAAAAGATTTTATTGTGCAAGTCTTAATAAACATTATTGAAACTACTGATGAAACTTATGTCAGTGATTCCAAAACTGTACGCACTAAGGCATTGCTCGACAATTTTGTGTACATTGCAAAACATCAATCCATTTCTTAAAAATTTAGTTCTATCCGCCAATATTTGAATCCCATTAATATGAACGATCAAATCTACTGGAATCGAAGTTAGCAGAGATGGTAATTTCCGTAATACCAATAAAGCAAGGTGAAAATACTGAACTCCCATTTTTAATATTTATTCACTTTCTGGTAAAAATATATTTTATAGATGTATTACAAAACCTTCCAGCCAACCTCTCCAGATCTGATTTAACTCTTTGTTTAGAAGCAGAAGTTCCAGCAAGACCCAATGCAGATTTATTTCCAGAAAGATGTTTGGTTCGATTTATGGCTTTCAAATTGCCAGATCCAACGGCTACTTCTCTCTTTGCCATCTTCAAACTTTTACCATCCCAGTCTTTCATCTGATACCTGAACAGCGAAAAAATAATTCAATAGACAATTTCATTTGTCCAGCGAGAAAACTGTGTGGTGGTCAGTTACGACTTTCTTTACCATCAAGATTGTGCATCTGAAAACAAATAACTAACTAATCCCATATTCGACAAGGACTGTTAACCAGATGAGAGGCCTTGGTATGCCATAGGATTGATTAAGTCGACGAATGGGCTTTCCTTTTCCCCAGGATAAAAGTGATACCTTATCCTTATATACTACAACCGACTACTAATGATGAAATGTTACAATGACTTGAAATGTGTGAATAGCCTAGTTTAGGAAGCCTGTTTGTCAAGTCGATGAATCAGACATGACCAAATGGTTAACAATAACTAGACATGAACCGTGGTGGAATGGATAAGCCGCTTCATCTGCTTTTATTTCACTCAAGATAAATATTATTAAAATCCTATCCTAACCGTAATCTAAGGCGATGTTTCCCAGCTACAGAGGAATTTTACTGTTTTGGGGAATGAATTTTGTTTTGTATTTACTGTAGTATTGATAATATGCTGTAGTTTTTTCATTATTACTGCAATACTTGTTCGTGAACAAATAATAATAAACGACTTGAAATGTACAATAATGGGATGGTAACTTGGGGGCATATCGCTAGAATGGGAACCAATAAAGATTCAACAAATAAAGTAGGTATAACATAGGAAGGGAAAAATAAAGAGTTGGGAATATCTGATCTGAAGGAAGAGAAAAGCAGTCAAACCACTAGATAAGTGTTTATTAATGACAGAGGTTCAATAAAGTAACGGTTTTAAATTTTGAAGCAATTATACTATTGTTGTTCCACATAGCATTATGCCATTAACATAAGATAGCAACCAATCATAGAAGCAGCATGTATAAAAACTTTACCTTTTCTCAGCGATTTCCAGTGTAAGATGAAGTAATTCCCATTTTCCTTTCTCTCGTCGCTTTATCATTTCTAATATTGTTACAGCTCTACTCAAATCTCTTCTTAACTTCAACATCTTTTCATACGAGGCTTCATCATTCTTACGATTCTAAGATATAAATTGGTTAAATAAGATGCAGAAAGCTAACCTAAGCGAGTGTGACAATCAGGAGTCTATCGTTTATCTATAACAGAATGTTTTGAGCCAAGTAGTCACTGGTATTTAATAAGTGAAACTGATATGTTTTGGAAAGAACGACTTAGTGCAATGTGCAAACCCTGCGCAGGTGATACATTCTATTCCGAAGACCAAATAACAAAAACTCCACATAGCATTTGAATTTAGTATATTTAATTTAATATACTCAAAATATTCCTGCCACAATACGTTAAAGGTGGATTACAGAAAACATGGATTCAATATTAAAACAAAACTGATGTTCCACCAACAAGAGAGCTATGCTCAAATATATGGACACGTCGCGCCACCCAGTGGCACTAATTTTGATGACGTCATAGCGAAAAAAAAAAGTAATAGCCTTCTGGAGAAAAATTTTATCTTTAACCACTGAAAATATCAAAGCAATTGGTCCAGTATTCGAAGAGAAAAGCGATTTTTTAAAAATGGAGACGGAAACAAATAACAATAACAACAAAATTTTGAAACAATCGTTATGGCCACTAAACGTGTCCAATAATAAACAGATCAAATCATATCATAATCTGTATATTGTCAAATACGGCATGGAGCATAAAAATCAGCCTAAAAGTATTCAAAATCAAGTACCTTTCTTGTTTGCATTTTCTCAGTTCTTCTACGAAAAGCAACATAAGAATCTCCACTAGATGATCCGTCCCTTCTCTCCTGACGAACCTACATAAAATCATAGACAAGCTAAAAAAAACACAGCCAAACACTGTCCAAATACCGTTTAGTAGCAATAGTGGATCTCACATCTCATAGGGACATTGCAAGAATGGATTTACAATTCAAAGAATTAGTAAACATTCCAAATAACATATGTCTTATTATACCTCGTATAACAAAACAAATTAGAATAGCTTTATGACCTAAATTTAAATACAAAAATCTAGGGTCGAGCAAAAAAAATATTCGACTTAACAATTAGAGAGATTTACCAATTAAAATATTGTACATAGACTATTACCAACACAATACTATATTTGGGCACCACTGTTCAAAAGATTGTTTGTGGAGAGATTCATTCGCCGACCCAAACTGTGCCAAAACAGGCCGAAACATCATTCATTCCATTCTTACATGAAACGTTACTGCTCCTCCTGCTGGTTTTGCTCTTTTCTGCAGCCAGTAATCATAAACAGCTTTAATTAAATCATCGTCTTCTTTTAATAAAAGTTTGGCTTCTTGGAGAGTGACAACCTGTAAAAGAAAAATTGCTTGATTGCTAAAAAAGACTTGCTCAAATTTTTTACATAAAATCAAATAAAACGTAAGTGTTTGCGAACACAACTACCAAATGGATTAAATAATTAATATTCCGGTTCAAGAATAATTTCACCTCAAACTTGCCATTACCAATACTGATAGCTTGAAAATAGTACACAATCGACGGAATTTTCTACATTTCCAAATTATGTTTTTATATTATAATCGATTTAAGAATATTTCAACCTCAATTAAGCATGCGTTATTCAGAATACGATGGGATTCATTTTTTCATTACTTTTTTCTGTGTTTTATATTTTTACATAATTTCTAGCAAACAGTCTCATTTCTCCCAATATCATATGCCAAATAAAGAATATCGAACAGCATACTATGTAATCCTAATTCTACTTGGCTGCAACAAACCTGATTTCCACACGACTTCTCCAATCTGTCAATCATTTCTTCAAACTGAATCTCCGAAATATCCAACCCAGTTCTTTTATTTGTGTCTTTCACCCATCGCTCATCTTCACTGTCCATGTCATAGTCTGGTTTCTCTTGCTCCATAATGGAGTTAAGGGCTTGTGCTGAACAGATAAAGGGATTGAAAGATAAGAATACGGACAATGGAGTACAACCAAATTAGATCATGTCACATTTTAAGGTTCTGAGTTAATCACATTTTCGTAATAGTTCGGTTGTAAAAGCCGAACCTAAAACTGGTCATAAGGCACTTATCAATAATCAAAACTAAAACAGATACAGGTTTGAAACTCAGACCAAAAGATGAACCCGTGTTCATAATGAGAAAATATCAAAAAAAAAATGTGACATGGACTAATTTGTTTTTTCTTGTGTAATTTGATAGACAGAAAGCGATTTGTTGAATAGTTGGGGACATATGGGAACACTTTATTCCATCATGACCCACCAATTCCACTAACTCTGTGCTCAGCTGAGGTCTAGTTAGCAGTACCGATGCATGATCTAAATGCCCCTATAATTGAATATTACTCTATTGCTTTGCAATTCCCTTTGAGTTTGGAATCACAAATATATACATTGAAAAGAATTGACTTGATACAACTAAACTAAATTTTATTTAGATTTCGCTGCAATTCCGGATGGTCAAACAATTTGAAGTTAGGACATTTTAGAAAAATTATTTTTCTAAAATTTACCATTTTGTATGTTATTAAAAAATTTTTTACTCGTTCTAAAATAATATGTAAACACGAAAGGTATTCCATGTCACATTAGATATTATGATGGATGGATGAAATTCAAAGTATAAGTAGAAAATGGGATCTACCATAATATTATAATATTCGTTTTATCATTAGAAAAATATTTAGCTACAGAGAAAAAATGCTTGACATTACTAATATTTACAGACTGGAAAATAAAATCTTTTTAAATATTAACTTCCTCTTTGTGGAAGATAGCTAACTCAACAAATCTAGTTCAAAATTTTATGAATGGGATTACGGTTTTGTATATCACAGCACCAGACATCAAACATGAACGGTGGATCATTAACCATGACCAAATTTAAATATATTTACACAACAGAGGAACAAAATATGAAAACAAGCTGTGTGGATTGAAGTGGAGAGTAAGCAAGAGCTAAGGTTCTTGCAAAAACACAACGGCGCCATTTATTTACTCTTATGATTTATTTTGTAGTAATTAACGCCACACAAATTCTATCCATCAAAAGATTTGTGAATTACGTATCAGCAGTTGATTCTATCTATTTACTATTAGACAAGGACTAGTGAAATGAAACTCCTCTGAAAAAACCTAATGGAAAAAAACAACAAATACCTTGATTGTGTATATATTGCTTGGGAACTCGAAATTGCTTCTTATAAATGTTGTTATAATATTCCACGCCAAGTTCTGCCTCAGGAACCGGGATCACCATTACTTTCTTATCACCGTATACTTGCTGTGCAGATATAGCTCGCTGTAAGTGATGTTCCTAAAAATAAAATATGAATAGTAAGCAGTGTTTATGATCAGAGTGCCAGACAGCGGTGATTCGATTTGGTTAGCTAGTGCATAGGTTCTCAAAGTGCTCCGTACGGAGCCCCAGGGCTCCGCGAGAGTAACCCAGGGGCTCCGCGAGCTATTCGATTACTTTTCAAAATACTGACTTGGCTAATTTAAAACTGTTCCTAGAAGCAATACTAGCTTTGATGAAATTTGACAAATATAGCCTCGAAATAGGGCAAAGGGGCGGAATTAAAAAATGACATTATTTATAAGCAGGAGCGCAGCCAGGATTCTTAAGAGGGAGGAGGTTCAAAATTGAAATCGGAAATTTACGCGCAACATTTTTGACGATTCAAAAAAAACGGATAACGAGATCTCTGTTGCGTAAAATATTCAATTCATGACCGATGCGAGCATCTAAAGGGTCTTGTCGTAATAATTTAATTGTGCTCATCGTTACTCACATTCGATTCGAAATTACTATTAGGATTACTAAAATGATAAAATACTAGTCTAAAACAACATAAACTGCTAACTATAAATAAAATAGAGTCGTATTTTTGCGATCTTGGGATTTGTTAAACTTTATTTGTTCTTTCGCACTCGAGATTATTTTTAAGCAAGATGTCGCCGTTTGAAAAATCACAAGGTCTTGGCAAAATACGAACGATAGAAATTCATTTTAGTGCATGCGGCTCTGTCGGTAGTTTCAGAAAGGAAAAATGGTACATCGCAAGCATAATTAAATGACTGTGTTTCAATTTCGCAGTTACTACGATGAATAACCGAAAACCTAACATAACACCAAATTTTATGATTTTCGATGTCTATAACAGCGTTTTTATTCTGACGTGATTCTGCTGAAACAAAACTTATAGTGTTATCTTCCATTTTAAGTTTTAGTTCTAATATTTTAGAAGGCCGCTTTTTAATCAAGAAATTTGAATTGCAGATTTACCTCTTTATTAACTATTATTTTTAGCATTTCGTCGCCGATGATTATAATATGGTAACATGTTTTTCACATTGAACTCATAATTCCCCACGAGAAAGAAAAAGCAATTATCGTCGTCATTGTGGAACAATACATGCATATGCCGAAGGAAATTTTTTATTTAGGGAGAATAAACACCGGCGTAAAGATGTTTGAGGTTCAAAAACACGCCATGCTGACGAAAACAATCGGCGATTGTAACAAAATGCAATCGCGCACGTTATTAGCAGCCTTTTAAGTCTTCCAAAAATGTCAAAAGGGAGAAGATTCGACCCCTAATTTATTAATATGTTTGTCATGTGTCAAATTTATAGCTTTAGTATATTATACAATTTATCTTTGAAATTTAGATTTATTTATGACTTGTATTAACCCTATTAAAAGTGTTTAGTATTTAAATTGAGTAAAGTACGTTTAACTTACTCAGGAATATTAATCAGAAAGTAACAATTTTAACATTTATTTTGGGGCTCCGTGAATAATAGTCAACCTTTTCAAGGGCTCCGCAACGCCAAAAGTTTGAGAACCCCTGAGCTAGTGTACAAAAAAGCAGCCAGGATTCTTTTAGGGTATGGGGGTACATTCAATATAAAATTCAAACAGTGTGGCAAAGATGCAATTCGCCAACTAACAGATCTTGAAAACGATTGTATGTCTGGTGCCGCTATTGCGTGTTAAGGTGATGACATACAGAACTACAGAACAGAAAACAAAGTTGTTTGTTCTGAGCAAAAAGGTTGAACACTCAACACTCCATTGTCAAATGGGGGCTACAAACACCCACAAGAATCCTCCCTGCTGGCTGCGCCCCTGACTGAGCTGGATTTTTAGGTCTATAATAACAGATAGAGCATGAAGCCAAGCTTACCCTGATAGACAGAGTTACCAAAAAGATTTCCTTATACTTTATAAAAAAAAGAAAACTTATTCAGCTTTTTTTATTAATATTAATATTCAATTTCTAATATTAATTTAAAAATGTTTTCAACATAAATCTGCATTATTTGAGGTTCAAAGTCTACTTTTAAAATTTGAAAACCATGCGAAACCATTAAAAAAAGAAAGCAAAAGAAAAAGTTTGTCGAAATATTATACCTTTATATTCAAACACAGACTCACTCCTGTTTGGGATGAAATATCAAGCCAATTTTTCCAACCAGTAAAAATCGATCATACTCAATTTGGGCAAAACAGTAAACAAACACATCATTCATTGGGAAGGAAAATAGTATGGCATGCTTGTGATAATGATATTTTTAATACTTTGCTTTTTGAAATACTGAAATAAATTAATGTAGTACAAATACGTCTGCATGTGCTGCAAACTGCTTAAATAATGCCCAAAATAAATGTTTGACAAGCAAATATTGCAAGATAAACGCCTTAACTGCTTAAATAATGCCAAACAAGAAGGTGATGTAAAAAAGTCTGTATCGTGCGATATGAAAATTACTGACAGGCGCGTTTTGTTCAAATCTCACCTACTCAATTTTCAACTGAGTAGTATGTTCCATGCCAAATGGGAAATAGTTTTTTTTTATTTAAAAACAAAATTACTGTTCCGTTTCTGTTTGTGTCAATTAACTGACTTTCGACCTATGCAAAAATACGCATCGTCACCATAATTTTGCGAGACAAGACCCTTGCGTCAAAGCACCGGTTGGGATGTTCCGGTTAATAAATAATTTTACCCATATTTATGGTGTTAAGTGTAGACGTAGCTATAAAATCCAAACCGGTAAATATGTAGACAAATGTGAATGAACGCCCATGGAAATTAGGTCGCAATAGCAGATACAAGAATTGCTGAGAGCCGGTGTACAATGACAGTAGGGAACAGTTTTCCGATTCCAAGAATACCCTCCACATTAAAAACATCAATTATACCAGTGAGAGCGAACCCCTCCCTTACAAGACAGTCTGGGCCTCAAACAGCAAAAACTGGCACTGCGCAATAAACTGAAAATGTCACCATTGGATTATTAAAAAAATATAATCACATACGGGAAAAATATTTACTGTAGCATTCAAGAGTTTTTAGCAAAAAAAAAACACAATTTTAGTCACATGACTGCTGTCACAAACGTCACAATCTATTTAAATTACTATCGAGACACATTTGATGAGATCTGACTCATCTGCTGTTATGCCAGACGTCCTCGTTTCGGAGACAAAAAGAGTGTTTGTTTTATTGAACCAAATGTCAGGACATCAATCAGAGAACTGTGCCTACTGAATGGCTTGCATTTCGTGACATCGGTCAAGCTCTTTCCCAGGTCATATTTTTTGACCATATTTTCTCAATGCTATAGGTAAATTTGAGTCTCCTGTAGCACACGCCTCAAGTACTTTTAGTTAACTTGACTCAACAATATTTACATATGTAATTCCTAACCCCCATCTGACTACGTCATCTGAAATTTACATCACTGCGATGACGCAGTTACATAATACAGCCCTCCAAAGTGTACGTATGGTCGCGTAGATCAGAGTTTTCCAGAGAACTTTTTGGGCCGCGCACCCCTGTTCGTGAATCTTATTTTTTACGGACTCCCATCCTATGCGTATTAATTTATATGCCTAACCAACGAAGAAGAATAATGTTTCATCTGGATTCAGAACACAACAACACAAATGACATTGATGTGACGGATCAATTTGTGACGAGATAACTTGTAGGCCCGACTCTACGGCAGCGATTCTATACAGTTTTACATATGTTTTGACAAAATAAAATTCCTGAAGGTCTGATTCATACATACTAACGTTAAATATTCGTAGGCTAAGGGCAAATCGATAATTGCACCTCTATATTCGGACTGTCGGTACTTATCGAAAATGTGGAAGTAATGGGGCTAATTTGATGCTGTGTACTTGGATAGTCTCACACAATTAACTGGGTTTTAACGCCTCATTCCTGCAGCAACAGGGCTCAAACAGTACAACACACTATCCAAATTCTAAGAATTTCCCTCCAATTGGTGCAATAAAACAAACACTCGATGTGTCTGACAAACGAGGGGCGTCTGGCACCACGTCAGATGCGTTATACCGCGCCATGCTTGTCTCAATATTAATCTAAATTATTCGCAGCCGTCACATGACCGAAAGTGCCGAGTTTTGCTAAAAACTCTCGAATGCCGCGCAACTTCATTATACTATATTTTCCCCGATATTGAGGGACAACAATGTCCAGACGTCTCCCAAAGGAAGGATGTCTGATCATTGGTAAAATGGGTTTCTCTGAACGAGACAATGTCACCTGTATAGTGTGCCGTACTGTCAAATGATCTTGGCAAAGTGGCACAGGTTCTCGACTGGTGATAACTCAATAACACATACAGTCAATTATTACCAACCATGTAGCTCTGTGACTGTCTACCTCGTAGAGGTTGAAAGCGAGGATCGTCTTTATCTCGTTAACTAATGTCTATGTAACAGTGAATATGCGTTGTATATATATTTCAGACTCTTAATACCGCTGCGGACCTCCTGGGTAGTCGTCTCGGACCCGAACCCCAGTTTGGGAAACCCTGGCGTAGACAATCATTCGAAATCGAGCAAGCTATTTCTGTTGTTTTCTCGTCCAAACCATACCGATAAGATAGAGATCGCTGACGTTAGTGATATCATTATAGTCGGCACAGATGCTATTTCGGATGATCGTAGCTTTTTTTTGTCAAGCTTCATGACGCGATTGTGACGTCGTAGTGATGTAATTTTTGGGTGACATACTCTGGTGGGGTTTAGGAATATTATATTAATAAAAACGTTATGCTATGCCCACTAGGAGTATTTGAGGGCGCCTAATTCAGGAGACCCGTAAATTTTGTGTGACTTGTTAGATATGATTATTCCAGTACGGCACACTATCCCGAATCCGGATTTGCGTCTATATTCCGGGAGAGCCAAAATATGAATAGGCGTCTGTGAAACCGGGGGCGTCGAGTCGTCTGCGAGCTCGATGCGTGAGAACGTCAGATGTCTGGATATGACGTTAAAGAAAGTCACGCACAGTTCGGCACGGCTCTCGAATTTTGCTAATTTGATTTTCGTTTTTTACCGATGTATACTGACCTATATGGTTAGATATACAATGTATTTCTGAATCATTATATTCAGTCTACTGTTGGTAGTGCCTAATTAAAATAATGTCGCGTAAATGCAAACGTCTGTGAATAAAATAATTACTTTTAAATAATATCAAGAGATTACAAAATTATGCGTTTCGATAAATACGTCTACGAGTCCAACTAATTTTATTATAGGTGTTTGTGACTACATGACATCGTTTGAATTGTCGTATAACGAAGTCAAAACGATGCACGATATCGAAGTTTTTTTTTTCAATAGTTAAATTAATATCGATAGTGAAACTTCGTATGCCCGTTAATACCTGTAATTACAACAATTTAACATAGCATCTTCGGTTATTTAGAACTGAAACTTCCAGAACGCACAACGATTACGAATTACGATATCATTTTATAATTATATTCGAGATTTTTATTTAAATTTGAGCGTCAACAATTCATAGTAAAATATAAGCCTCGATGATCAATTGGATTAAACTATTTTGCCAATTTGATTCTTGTTTTTTACAGACTACGCAAGTTGATCATTTGCGGCATACGAATGCATCAATGCGGCATTATATTAATTTGATTCTTGTTTTTCACCTATCTATTCTTGCATAAATCACGCAAATTAACATTTGCGGTATATGATTGCCTCGACGTGGCATTGAATTAAAATATTCTCGTATTCCGTATACTCCGGAGTTAACATTAACGACATATGAATGTATCGATGCCGCATTATATTAGTTTGAATCTTGTTTTTCATCGATCTATACTAGTATAAATTACGTAAATTGAACATTTGCGGCATATGAATACATCGATGCGGCATGATATTACATTATTTTGTTAATTTGATTCTTGTTTCTTGCCGATCTATTATTGTGTAAATTACGCAAGTTGATCATTTGCGGCATATGAATTAAATTATTTTCGTATAGATTAACATTTGTGGCATATGAATGCCTCGATGTGGCATTGAATTAAATTATTCTCGTATACCGTAACTTTCGAAGTTAAACATTTGCGGCATATGAATGTATCGATGGGACATATATTATTTTGAATCTTGTTTTTTACCGATCTATACTAGTATAAATTATGCAAACTGAACATTTGCGGCATATGAATACATCGATGGGGCATTATATTAAGTTATTTTGCTAATTTGATTCTCGTTTTTCGCCGATCTATTCTTGTATAAATTACGCAAGTTGCACATTTTGTGGCATATGAATGTCTCGTTGCGGCATTAGATTAAATTATTGCTTATGAACTAATTCATCTAATGCTATATCGAGGCATTAATTTTACTGTTTATCGATTGTGTGTTATCACAATGTAATTTTTATTATCTCTGATCCATTTATTATCGTTAACACGCCATCCTATCTACATTGAAAATGAGAGAAACACGGCACGCCAAAGTTTACGTCGAGGAACGGCCGATGCGTGCCTGCGTGCGTCGATTGAAATTCAGTGACGTCACACGCCGTCAATCGTTTTTTGCTCATTTCTCTCGAACGCACCGGTAAAAATTTTTTTACATCGGTAGATCTGATTATTTTTTCACGAGGAATTCAATGGTGATGGTTTTAGATTGCGCTTTTTGTTAGTTTACTGCGCAGCTTCAATTTATCGATATCGGGAGACAAAATCCGCCAGACGTCCATCGAAGGAGGGATATTCGATCACCGTTAAAATAGGTTTCTCTAAAACGAGAGATTGTCTCTCGATCTGTAAAGTGTGCCGTACTGTATTCACATTAATGAATTTAGTGTAGAATGTTTGGGTCGTGATTTTCTAACTACAGCTTGGTTTTTTTATGTTAATAAGAAGGTAATTTGGTTCTGGTATAGTTTAGTACCACATGCACTTCTAGTTGGCCTGGCTCAACAATTTTTGCATATGCCAATCCTAACCCCCACCTGAATACGTCACCGAAAAATTATGTCATTTCGACGTCACAGTGGCGTAATAAGGCCCACCAATATAAGCGGATGGTCGTTCAAAACGCGCAGATAATCACCCGAAATCGAGCAAGCTATTTCTCTCATTTTCCGTCACGATAGGAGAGAGATCGCCGGCGTTAGCGAGTTCGTTATCGGCGGCGCAGATGCCATTTCGGGTGATCGTAATTATACTTTGGCAATCTCTATGACGTGTTTATGTCGTGTTTGTGACGTCGTATTGGCATAATTTTTGGATGGCATAGTCAGATGGGGGTTAGGAATAACATATGCCAAATTCTTTTTGATACGCCAACTGGAAGTACCTGTGGTACTAAACTATACTAGACCCGGTAATTTGACATTTTATGACAGCTTATTTATTGTTTAAATAGATATTTTCAATTTCATTTGCTTATTTTTGTTTTTGTTCTACCGAGGTTGGTCAAAGCATTAATCATGCCATTAACGTTGTTCATCTGTCAGGAATGCTTTTTATGGTTTTATTGCAATTTTTATAAATGTTGGTAATCACAAGGAAAAATAGTGTAGAATAGGGGAAAATCCCACACATATCCTTTATTGTAAACAAATGGATAGAAGAAACAGGTTCCCGCTCTTGTATAAAACACGCCTCTGTAGCATCATCTAGCGGTCACAAATTTTAACCCGTTTTCTGGTAATGGCGGCTGAATTCATAATTTTGAACTTACCGATTCCTCCTCTTTTTCCATTCCTGTGGGCATTTGAGGCACTGCTCGATTAAGAACAGAGTAGTCTGGAAGATCGGAAACCTCATGCTTTCGATATATCGGCATAGACTTCGTGGCGTCCAGCGCCCGAGCCCTGAAAGACAGCTTACTCATGGCCGTTTTTGTTCCAACCCTAGTCTATTTCTACGTCCAAAATCCCACTTTTCTCAGAATATAAGTAATTCCTGTAAGTCTGATAGGTGTACGACACCTATTCAGAGCCGTAACTCCGCGCTCCGGCCCTTCAAATCTCTCCATAGCATCGCGGTAATCCACCGAATTTTGCCTTCTCGGTCTTTGTTAAAACGTCCATCATGGCGGATCGACCGAGCTGTTATGTCCCACAATGCAACTCAACAAAGAACCGTGCGGCTGCGCACAAGCGTTCTGCGCAGTGTTCCCACGCCCAACAACAACCTTCCCATTTCCGAAACGGTTCATGCTTCGTCAACAAGCCTCCAGTGGACGCATTGGCCATGGCGAAAGTCTCGTGATAATGATGACGATGCCAAAGGCAGCGAAGGGAAATTTGGAACATCGCCGAAATTAAAGTCGGTGCTTTCTATTTTTGCGTAATTAAACACATGTGACGCCTGCGTATTTCCCAATAAAAATTATGGAATAATCACATTCACTTCCAATTTTATTAATTTTGCACACATCTACCAAGATCTGAACATCAAAGAATATCATCAACGGATCCAAAAACTAAAATAAGGGCCACATGAAACTATCAATTGTCTGTTTCAACCCAATAAGTGACAAATTCTGGTTCAAAAATATGGTTGCACCTCTGATATTAGTCCATATACTTGGCAGGCAAAGTAGTATTAACAAGTTGCTTGAATTAAATAATTTTGTTTCATATATATATTTATATACTTTATTTTTACCAAGGACTTCAATCACCAGAGGTTTTCCTCAATATAATTCAGATACAGAATTTCAAAAATGACACATGACAAAATAACAGATATGTTTTTGACATCCAAATTGTTTTTCCATGTAATGTGAGGGACTATGCATACCATTGTGGCAGATAATAATCTCAACTTTGGTGTTTTTCTTACATAAGCGTGGCAACGACACTTCATGAAACCTGTGCATAAGAGCTGGGGTCAGGAAATCTGCCTATATGAAATAAGTTTCACTATTCACGACGCATGTTGGAAATTGTAAAAATGGTAATAACATAGAAAACAAACTTTTAACCCCCGCGGTCTAAATGATGAATAGGCTGAGACAGAAAATAATTATTCTAGCGAACAATGTAACAAGTATTTCAGATTGATCAGAAATCTCATTAAAAAAAAAAGCTCATTTATAGACATAGTGAACTATTACAATGTAGAACCATTATACAGGGAATGTGATGAAACTTCAATTTAAGAATTAAAGCCCATTGACAAAATTTTGACCTTGTTCAAAATACTGTAACTAATGTAGAGGACAAAACATTGCTTTATGAGTATGTGACAGGCACTGTGCTGTTGATGGCCAAATTGGCAATTCCAGTCGAATGAAATTTACTTATACAACTTTTTTAGCAGAATTAAATATAGGTAGTCAGAAGCATTAATTGTCATGTTATCATTTGAAAACTTCTGTTTTCTGAAATCCTACTTCCAAATAAATTTTTGATTCCAATCAAACACACGAGATCCCCACATACGAGTATTTAATTAAGCAGGAACTATCATATTGGCAATCTTTCTATCTAGCTTCTCAGCACCGATGAAAAATCCATGTTTGAGGAATCAAATAGCACTGCTCATCTGTAAATGGGTGCACTGTTACTAGATAATGTGTTCAGATAATTCTGTTGATTGTGAATATGTTGCACGAAGGCTCCATTTATATCGTCAGAGAAAAAAAGAGCGGAACCCAACACTCAGCGGGGCAGAAGTAATCATGTAAAGAAGGGGTGTGCAACCTGCAGACCGCGGGTTAAATGCAGCCCACAAGCAAAAATGAAATGCCAATTTTAAATGGTGTGTAGTTTAATCTGGTATGTGCGAGTAATTCCAACCCCTTTGCGATGAAAACCCTATACCACAGTTCAATTTATTATCAATGCATATGACATAACAATGCCCTAACAGGCCAATGATAATAGGCAAAGGCCAATAAAAAAAAGGAAAGAGGGGAAGCGCCCATCAACAGCCTAAACCTAAAAAGCAGCTAACATCTAGCTTGTGCGAAGCGAACAACGAACGCCATAAGATCAATAAATTTTTGCGCCTGCAGCTACTGTAAAGCCTATGGTAAATAAAAGTGTGGCCCGTGGTTCCACCCAGTTATTTGTATCGGGCGTTCCAGAATTAAAGGTTGCACACCCCTGATAAAAAGTATCATTATGGAATAAGACCATAAAATACTTCTGAGATTCGTACCCGGTGTAGACTATGAGAAACTGACCATTACAAATATGGATACATTCTTAATTTTTTCAGAACAGCTTGAACAAGTGTATTCCTCCAATTAAAGTTTATAATAAACACTTCATTACAATTCAGAATAGAGATGTTATCCTATACCAGTTTTGTCGATGCGGTGAAGCGAACTTCAACTGAGACATGCTAATTTTAAAATTTATATCGTTATTTTTGTTTTTAACATAGGAATGTCACATTTTGCAGATGTTGTAGAATGAGAGTCATTTAATTGGATTCAACTGGATATAATAAATTATTTATTTCGATACATCTCTACTCTGACTATAAAATTTGGTTATAGTTTCCCCACCTAATTATCGGAATTATTAACACAATTAAAGGTTTCTTGATTAGATACATTGGAGATTGAATCATCAAGTAATCAATGATGATGCTTGTGGTGCTTCTTCTTCTTGTGATGCTTCTTATGCTGTCAAGACAAAAGTACACAATTATAGTTTTAGGTTTCATTCAAACTTAAAATTATGTGGAACGTGCATAATACAGTCACCACAATAACACCTATTTATTTTAAGGTTTATCAGAAAGAGAGAGTTTTTGCCACCACACCAACAAAGCCAGTGAACCCGGGCTGCTTTGGAAATAACTTTGTTATCTTGGCAGTTCTTTTACAATTTTTTTTTTATACCTGGTATTGTTCATTCATTTATCCCATGTCAGTATGGTGCATCATGATAAGCGTTCGAAATATGCTCGCCACTGCACCTGATTTCTTTGTGCGGAATTGCTGGTTTGAATCTCGCAAGGGATGAATTATGTGCGAGAGAGGTCACTAGATATGATTAAGCAGTCTTGTTGTTTTTCCTCTCCCAGGGGATGCATATGAAATGTTATCCATATATATAATGTATGACTTATTTTCTATGAGCCTTTTTAATAACGAATATCCTATGGAAATGACTACTGTCCATGGTATAATGGTTTCTAAAAATCTCTATATGATGTTCAGTTAACTCTGATATTTACAAAAAAGTATTGGAAAACAAACAGAAGAACATACAGAAATATAATCTATAACGAAAATATAAAGCAAATCGTACATGGCCTCCATCTGAACTGGAAGAACTGGAGCTCGAACTTGAGCTAGATCTGCTGTGATGTTTATGGTGATGTCCATGATGAGCGTTCTCAAGCTCTCTCTCTAACTTTCTTGCCTCGTGATGGCCACCACCATGCGTGACTTCGTGCTCCAAATGTTTTACTTCATGTTCGAGATGTTGGGCCTCATGCTTCATATGGCGCTCAGCCTCATTTATCTCGTGTTCCACTAAAAACATTTGGGAAAATTAGAATTGGAAAACAGTGATTAACACTTTATTTACTGTATGTGACGATTGTTGACTGTAAAGTCAGCCATTAGTAGCAATGATGCACCATGCTGTTATTTTTTGTATTGATATTGTGTTTGTCAATCGAATTTGGAGAATCCCAGTCTGGCTTTCCCCGATTCTCTCACTGTGGGATTCTTACATGGGTGTTGTTCGAGGTTTGGTATACTTTTCAATCCTCACGAATAATGAAATTTATCATATACGAGATTAATGGTAACTGAATAATTCTGAAAGACAACATGGAAATGAAAAACAGATGTGAATGATAAAAATAGTGAGATGTCCTAGTCAGGTTATGGTGCTGATCCCAGGGGCCAATGTTTGAGGGCCATTAGTTTTTTTTTATTGAAGCAAGATCAGGGGTTTTGCTATTTCATTTGGCAAGATCATGCTCTGCATTATTTGTTGCCTATGAAATTGTTTACACTTTGATGAGAAGTTTCCAGTCATTTTATGCTGCCTCGGACTACACACAACTCAACAGGGAATAGCTTAGTATCTAATAAAATTGAGACCTATAAATATAAATGGCATAATGAAATAGAATTTTGCTTAGAGAAATTTAAAATGAAAAATAAAAAAAATGACATCACAAAATTCCCTTGTTTTGGCTTGTTGTGATAACACACCCATACTATCAATGATTAACCAGAATGTTCATTAAGTATCTTATAATCAAAGTTATTAGTTTTCATTTTCAATCTATTGACATTGTTGCTCAGTTCCACATAATAAAAGCAGATGCCGACATTCGTAAATAATATCAGATGGAAAATTGGCACTTATATTGAAACCCACACATTTTGAATCCTGCCTCATGCTATGTGTTTATATATAACATAGACTTTCAATATTTTAATTTGAAAATTAAAATGTCCAGCCAAATGTTACAAGATTCGATTTGAAAGTAGTAAACTCACTCAAGAAAAATTGAAGACACATATGATCTTCCTAATTGCAATTACTGGCCTGTTTTAATTAATAATTTTAAACATAGTTTTCTCATTAAGCACAATAATATCCAGTGGCATCATGAAGAACCAACCACTTGCTTCGAAAAATTCTAAGTTGATAAATTTCAAATATCTAATAAGAATTACCATCCACAGTTATATCATTTTAAAACAATTATAAAAGAAGATTTTATCCATCAAATTTGATACAATGAATTTGAAATTTGTTGGAGTCAACCTTCATGACCATTGGGTTTCTGGGTTTCAAGCCATATCAGAACAGTTAGTTATCAAGTATTCCTAGCAATCTATTATTCTTGACTGATATTAGTCGATAAGAAATCAAAATAACAAACCATGATGAGTCATCTTCTCTTTATTGGAGTATTTTCCTACAAAGAGTGAGGAAAAGCATCAAGTTCATGTAAATCAAACCACATTAGTTAAAAACAAAGTCTCCAATAATAAATATGGCATAGATGCATAGAAATTCGTTAATGACCATCAAGATGCAAATAAACAGAGCTTGATGCTTGAATAAATAGACATGCATCAGAAATGAGCAATTGGATAATAGCAAAAATAAACCAACATCCCAGAATGATTCATTTCTACATCAAATGCAAAGAACATAGAAAAGATTGGACTCTACTAAATGGAATATCCTTTACAGACAATAAGTATCAGAAAGCCTATTTATGGATAATTAAAAAACTATCTCATATCCGCAGCATTGCAACAAGTTCAATAACAAAGTAAACATTAACAAAAATACCTGTTTCAATCCACAAACGAAATTTCAAAATTGAGACTTCTTGATCAAGAGACTCCAGAAATACTACTGAGATATATTTATGAGATTTCTAATTCCATATTTTTTCTCACAGTTAATGTTTAACTGGCATGTATGGTGATCATACCATCTGGGCCATCATAGAGAAAAAAGCTACAGGAATAAAATAACCATATATTAAAAAAAAATAGATTTGAATGGAATTCAAAAGTTGGATAAATATTCTTTCTATTCAAAAAGGAGATACACCATGAACATTGACACTGTACATTGAGAGAATAGAGATTTCTTGCTTAACACAGCTAACTGTGATTAGCATATTATTGACATTTGTTGGATATGCAACACACAATTACTAGATAATAAACTCCACCACAGTTACTAACTATATAAAGAATCGTATTAGTCATAGTCATTAGTCAATTTGAAATGTTTCTGATTTACAAAATATTAAAATAAATTCAATCCTTATTGGAGGGTTGTAACTGTTCAAAAGTAGTTATTTCATATTTATGTGTGAATTATTCATTGAAACTAACCGCATGTTACAGAGATGGCATTTTGCACAGAAATAAAAGGTGGATTACAAAACAAAACCCATTGATAATGAATGGATATGTCATCTTTAGTTGAACATATGAATAAGAAAATTTTCTTTTTCATTTTAATCTTTTCGTAACCCATGAAATAAATATTTAGTTATTGTGGAAATTACATTCAGTATTAAACTGTTACATTCATCAGTACACATATCTACTATACTTCACTTCGAATGAATACATAACTATTATAAAATGACCTAAATTTGAAGCATTCATATACCTTTATACACTAATAAAACGAAATACAAATATATGAACTATAGAGATAGTAGACTATAATTCAAAAACTGCAAATCAACAATCACAGAATCAGACATTAGCACAGTAGCATGAACAGATTTATCAGTTTATCATGATATTCCTTTAATCAGATACCGTGCTGTCGTGTTGCATGTTGAATAAATTAGGCTATATTCCATTTAGATATTTTATTTCCGTCGTGCATGGAATATTGTACGACACAAGTAATAAAAAAATTGCAACAATGATATCAGTTGAAATAAATATTATAGTATAAATTTACCATATTTATTCATTACTTACCCACTCATAACAGTACTATGTTTCTGTTCGTTTAATCCACACATAGTTTAGGAAGCATATTTGGTATCCATCTTTCGGACGAAAACCCACCCAACACATTGCAAAGGACAAATGCAGGGCGCCTGCGCAGATTGATTGCAAAACAAATGAGAAATGCACAGCTGGGATCGCTGATGCGCAACAAAATTGTGTGACGTAAAAATCGTGGTTCAGAAAGGAAGGAATTATCTACTTTTACTCATCTAAGGCCGAGTAATCCTAAATTTAAAGGCAAACGAGTATTTCGGGGATGTAGCAGTTCAAAATAGGAGAGTAACAGATAAAAGTACCTACTTTGAAATGCACCCCATTTTATCCAATAAACATTTTGCATCGCTTGAAGTTTCAATTTACGTTCATATTCATCGACGTCTGCGTTGCTATTGATAAGATGTGTATGATTATAAACATTGAAATCGCCATATTTCGACGGTGTGTATTCCAATATATGAATGAACATAGATGGCTCGGCTATAAAACTCTCTATGGTGTTTCTTTTTGGTGCCATGGGCACGTGCTTATTTTGCTTAATAGTTAATTCAGGCCTGGCTACAACATTCCTGCTTCTGTATACCGTATACGCATAATATACTATACTAATCCGTAAACATAATAAACCAAGACTGAGTAGATAGTCAGTCTCGCGTTGTAACCCAAACTAATACCTTCAGCGAAGTCGAATGTTAACAGTATTGAAGTTGCGGATAAACGCTTAACGACTGACGCTTTTTAACAGTATTGAAGTTTCGGACAAATGCTATTCAAACATTTAATGACTGGCGCTTTTCAACAGTATAGTAGCTATAGTTCAATGCCATTTAAACATCTAACGACTTACGCTTTATAACAGTATTGAAGTTTACGGCGAAATGATATCTAAACATTCACCGACTAAAGATTTTTACCAGTATTGAAGTTACGATAGAATGCTATTTGAATGTGTATAACGACTGACGCTTTTAACAGTTATGAGGTAGGTATTGAATCTAAATCGCCATATTTGGACGGTGTGTAACCAAATATAAATGAACATAAATGGCTTCTGATGAATGCCTTATATGAGGTGCTGGAAATCCTATAAGAATGACAAACCTAAGTTTTTGGAGCGTTTTCAATTATCTTTGATATTCATACAAGAATTATCGGAGCTCCAGAAGCATGTGCACCAAGATGGCGCACAACCCAAACATAGTATGTGTACCAGGTTAGGGTTCAGGTTGTGCGCGATCTTGGTGCACATACTTCGGGAGCGCCGACTTATCAATCACCTCACCTCTGGTTACACTAGGTATCGCAGGTAGAGATTTTGAGCGAGAAGATTGATGGACCGTTCACGTAGGTAGGGGCTAGACATAAATGGGCAAAGTACGGCCCGCGGCCCAAATCCGGCCTGTTGGGTAATTCAATCTGGCCCGCCTGATGCTGGCACAACCAAACTGAAACCAAATTTTGATATTTTAGCTAAAAAATAACTCAAGGAATTTGTTGATATTACGGTTAAATTTTGCTTTGGCAGGCGGCTTATTGTTTTCTACTGTTGCTGTTGTAACACTGTAAATATTGTTCGTAAAATGTAACTTTTTACGTCACACTTACAGGGCCCGCCAGCCTAGGTAGGCAAAATTTTTGGCTCCTCGTTCAAAAACCTTGCTCACCCCTGGGCTAAAAGGTTGGTTACAGCTTTCGCCACTACCGAAGTCCATACATCACGAACGATCAATTAGTAAACATTAAATAGGAGATGGATGAGAGACGATCCTTCGTCGTGACTAAGCCGTCTTATATTTGAGTAAATTAGTTTTTAGACTCTATATATGTCATTTTCAGAATTATTTATAAAATCGCATAGTTGAGCTGAGAAAAAGAGATTTTTTGTAACTTGTTCACTTCCCTCCTCGTTTTGAGATATTCGAATTATGAAATTTCCCTTTACACTTTTCAAATTTATTGTCCTCATTAACTAATTATTTCAACTTTTCGACCAAATATGAGGATTGACAACTTTCGTGACGTTGATTTACATATCCTAAGCAGCCTATTATATTTAGGTTAACAGTTTGTATATAATAATAAAACGTATAATATATAATATTACACAATCTCAAGATTGTTCTTCAATGCGCACTACATTTCGTGGAGTTAGATATGTTTGTTAAAGCCACTAATCTCTAAATTTTCTGAGATAATCGCAATGTAATCTGTTTTTTGTGAAATACCATTGATCACACCAAGACCTGCGCTATGTTGCCAAACATCACTGTTACCTGAAGTTAAATGGTAAATTGAATTTGTGGTTGAGTACAGCTTTAATTTTACTCATTGGCGATGGCGCGCTTGAAACGCGCAAAACTGTGAAGCAACAGAAATCAATATTAAACCAAGCATTCAATGAGCATCTTTATAATCCTAAACGTATATTTTACAGATGAATTGTGAATAATATATTATACAAAATCGAATTTTACATCTTTGACATTAGATAGCAATGACTTTTAACAAATCTTTTCAACCCTCAATTTCTTTTTTGAGAAAATAGTTTTGCTGAACACGATGAAGAACTACTAATTTTGCATGGTGTTTTGAATCCATGGAATGTAGAAAGAAACCTGCGAAATAGAAATATAAGATTTATTCTCTGAGATGAATGAATTGTGAATGATGTATACAATAATTACCAAGGCAAGATTTAGATTTGTGAACTTTAGAGACTTTGTTACAAATATTTCAATTACATTTGTAAACGCGATGGGATTCAAAATTTCAAGAACGGATTCTCTTTTGGATCGAATTCACTAACAACAAGTTTGCCTTATTTCAGCAAATGTCCGTATGCACGACGTAAGCTAAACAAGAACAGGTTTGCTAATTATCACCATATCCCAGGAACGGGTTCGTCGCGAACCCACTGAATGACACCACTGTTTGTAACAATGACAGAACATGTTACCCGAGTGTACACTCCTGGTTTTCTTGCTTCCGCACATCCGTATCCCCACGATACAATTCCAACCAGGTGATATTCGCCACTAGATGTCTCCCAGAAGAGAGGACCTCCGCTATCTCCCTAAAGTAGTAAATAAAGATAAACTTAAATGTGAATAACTGTATATATTGCACTATTTCGATTAAATATATCACTAGTAAAATACTTGATGGACCAGTAGAATGATACTGGAAGTTATAAAGTTTAGCGGGCCAAAGGTTAATTTTGGTTTTACAAGGGTAAATAATCAGGCGAGACTCGCTCGCGTTTATTGAGTTTTGTCCTATCTTTGTATTATTTGTGAGAATTAGGTTCGAGGTAGATCAACATACCAGTTTTAAAATAACACCAGTCTTTGTGTTTTGTGTTGCGGAAAATTACATATTTCTACTTAGTTATTAATTGAATATATATCCGATAATTCACCTGGCATGAATCCTTTCCACCAGACATGTATCCGGCACACATCATGGACGACATTACACCTCCTATCAACCCATTGCACGAGGTAGTTTCCACAACTGGCACACTTGCTCTTCTTAGCACAGTATTTGACCCAGTGTCTGAATTAGTCGAAGGTCAATAATAATATTAATTTTTGGACTCTACAAAACAGTGAGGGTCGTTAATAAAGACATTACGGATTTCCGGTGTTGTTTAAAGCGGTTATATAAGTTTCAACATTAAATTAAGTGCTATATAATGAAAAAGCACGTGCATGGAAAATATGGTCTCACGTTTCCAATAATTTAAATTATGAAACAGCATAGTAACATGGGGAAATCAAAGCTACATATCTTTTAGCCCACTCCATTTTTTTCCAACTGAGAATGTCAAAAACTACGAGTATTGTACTTACTTTTAGTGGTTCCCCATCCGGACACAGTGACCATTTCGTTTTGTGGCAAGATGCTGTTAGCATTGGGTAGACAGATCGGTCTGATGTATGTGTCAAACGTGACAGGATACGTTATCTGAGTAAGGAATTTCAGCTTGTATTTGCATGAATAAGTGACAATGCAGAATGCAATTAACAGATTTTGTAATTGCGTTTGCCGCGTTTAAAAATGTATGGAATCACGTGTGGAATTCATTTATATATATTAACAAAAAACATGCGTGTATGTTTACAGTGTGCATGCGTGCATATAAACAGGGTGTAGTTGAGACTTTTAGGCAAAGCATAAAAAATGGATTTGGTAAAAATATTCAGGGACATTGTCCTAGTAGTCAACTAGACTTGCCTTCATCATAGTAATGTCGTTTTCTAAAGTGGAAGAACTATATTGCTGGTGACGAAATATTGCACTGAAATCAACTCGCTTTTCTGTCACGTCGGTTGTATACTGATTGTGATCCCCGAGAAGTGCGTAGTAGGACGATGGATTATGAGGCCTAAAATGGAAGACAAAGGAATATACTAATCATTATAAAATGGCGAAATTCTTCAGGAATCATTGACCAATCGTCAGGCTAATAACCGAATTGCGTAAGTCATTTTTGGCGATTTTGAGTTTTTATGAAATAGTTATTTATGTAATGCTGCGCACCTGTCCGTTAACTCAGATTTAATCACAAGAATTCCTAAACCCATAAAAATGGAGATTTTGAAGTTTTTCACGTTCTTCTTAAAACTGCTAAAATGACTTACGCAATTCGGTAATTAGCGTGACGCAATGCTGTTTAATAGCTACGCTAATAGTCGTTTCATGATGTATGTAGTATCAGATTCAGGGATACATAGGACTTGGTCTCTTTTTCGATCCCTTATTTCCAATTGCAAGAATGATACGTTTGTTTTGGCGAACTCAACATTAGCGATATAATTTAACTTACTCAGTTATGCAATGTGCAGCCGTAATAATCCAATTTCTGTTCAGCAATGACGCGCCGCAGAAATGAGATCCCGAAAACGATCTTCTCAGGGATGCCTGCCATGGAATACTACCTGGAGTTGTTTCTACACCTGAGGTTCAGAAAAAATAGAATATGTTATTCGATATTGAACATGGAAACCAAAATAGTCTCGCAGATGGGTTACGTCTATGTTAAGCAATTAGAAAATATCGTGTAATAAATCACGAAGAACGGCGCATACGAAACCACATACCAAAATTTATCGAAGTACACTTTTACTGCTGTGATCCACTTTTTGAAATTTATATTTAAGTTTTTCTAAGCCAACAGACGCTGTAAATATAATCATCAATCAATTTTAAACCTCCAACAATATGGGAAGTATTCCCTTTCGAATCTGACATTGGAACATCCGGGACTCCGCATTCTGATGATGACGTAGGCGGAGGTGCGGTACTTCCGGGAGCTACCGTGGTTGTTGATGTTGTGTCTGAATTAATGGTAATGGCAGAAAATTATATTGACGAGAAAAGACAATAAACATAGAGAGTATAAAAACAATAAATTTTAAGCAGTAATACTTCTAATGCCCTCACCTGAACAAATAGGCACGTCACAGTATTCCCATTGTTTGTAAGAACTGGTTGTGAAGCACCAAGGATTTTTATCAAGGTCTGGATTTCTGCAATTGTTTCCATTCAGTCCAGAGTTCGGATAAGTCGATGATGTACTAGGAATTAAAATTGTCGTTAAGATCGATAATATCCTCTTTTATGATCGTATATACTTTAATAAAAGAAATCTTAATTACTAAAATAAGTAAGTAGATAAAATAAAATAAGTTTTTAAAGTAGAACCATATGGTAAAAATAATTGCGGAACGGATACATAGCAAAATGTATTGAATGATGACGTAGCTCGCCTAATTCAGTTTTACTAGTTTATATCGTTGCCTACGTCGTTAGAAGGCTATTTTTATTTGGACAAGGAAGATTATCAGACGATTATTGGTGACAATTTAATCAGACTAGTCGAGTAATCTGTAAGGTGGGTGAGATTTATTAAAACCAGATTGCTATTTTTTATATATCAGAAATAGCAAAACAGATCAACGGCGATGCTAATTATCGCCAACGAAATCGCGTTTCGACTCGGCCATTATTTAGCCAATTCAATAAGATAAAACGATTTATGTACTATCTATGTCGATGAGGACTTTGACTGTTCCAAGCCTGACAAATGATCCCGGATTTAGTCTGGTGTATTGTGCCGCGGTAACTCTCTCTGTCGCCAGAATCAAAACAGCTTCCGGTCGCGGTAGTGGTTGTTGTGGGTACAATCGTTGTTGTAGTCGTTATTGCAGTGGTGGTGGGGTCTGTGTAACATTTAAATATCATTATGAATAGGAGACAAACATTCTATTCAGTATAAAAATTTAATAATAATCTTCTTACATCCACAATAGTAAGAAATAACACAACTTCTTGATTGCCACCATGCGCCTTCACAGTCGGGAGTTCCCGGAAGCCCAGCGTAGCAGTATCTAACCCTGTTAACAGAATAAACGAGAATATCGGTTGGAAACCGAAGACTTATCGATCGATAGTTAGGGGATCCCCAAAACAGAAACTGCAGTTTCGATTCATCCGCTCTTGTAACTTGCGCACTGCGCATCGCACACACACACTCGGCGGGTTTCAAAATTCTCTCGCTTTACAAAAATCTAGATCACTATATCAATAATTGATTGATAACTTGCTAATTATACGACATAATTCGCCCAAAATCAATAGGCTTCTGGTCCGAGATAAGATGAATGCACATGCAAAATCTGGAGCAGATTCAATCTCGCTTTCGTGAGATATCGCGTGCATCTAACAGACACACACACAGACACACAGACATACATACAGACAAATACCTATCAATATACTTACCGATCTTAAGATCGATAAGTAATAACTAGTTTAAATCAACTAGAATATCTAGTTGTTACTAATCTATATTCAAATCGTTCACAGATTAAAAGCACAAACCTTAACTGCATTCCTTGCTTACATGTTTTCGAACATTGCGTCCACTGCGTCCATGAACTCCAGTTTGTATCATCAGAAGTAACTGAAAGGAAATTTCAAATCTTGCTTTTTTACTTAGGTAGATGTGCGTAGATAATGCAAAATGCATGGAAATATTTCGCATTGCCTTTTCCTATAATGGAGTCGAGCAGTAATGAATGACTTTGGGAGGGGCGAACGGAAACATATAGTTTGCACTATTTTAAATGAATCCAAACGATTGCGGACTTGGTAAAAAGTCATACATCCCGACAAAATTGGACCAATAATCCAATTTCTCGTTTGCAAAAATGTTTCCTTTCTAATTCGAAATCACATGATTCTTTCAATCAAAAAGATTAAGTTCTTTTTTTTTCATTCCAAGTTCCATTCCTCCATTTAAATTACTAAATTTAAATACAAATTTCCACGCCAAACAATAAAATATTTATGATAAGAAGTTTATAACTCAATTTTTACCTTCCGAGGTAATACTTAAAAACAAGATTCCATATGTGAGGTACTTCATCTTATTCGCTGGTATACCAGACTAAGACTTACTCATTATGGCAAATAGGTAAAGATTTCAATTCTTTGTCTCACACACAGCTTGAGAATTTCGTACATTTCATTGGCATTTCAATATATTGCGGATGTTTGAAAAACGCGAATCAACTCTTCTATGCATATTTATTGAATCACGGAATGAAGCATATTTTGGATTTGATAATTGTACAGAATTAATCTGAAAGTAGAAATGTGAAACTTCCTCAATAAGTTTATCAAATAACGGTGAAAGCAAATTATATTTTTCGATTTTTATTATCACAAATACATCAATACAAATGTAAAAACGAAAATTTCTGGGATGAATGAATCAGAAATCACCTGAATCACTTTCTACCAACTACACGAAAAGCAGGTCTCGTACAATTCGTTACATACATAAAAATTACTCATAGCCAAATGTACAAATGCCATATTTTAAAGGTACTAGATGCTAATATTTATGATTTCATTTGTAAAATCAATGAACTATTTTTGGTTTAACTCAAAATGAAAGCAACTGTGCTACTTTTTTAAAAACTTCTTTCATATTATTTCAGATAATTCACAGAGAATACAATTCTAATGCGTGAGTCATGAACATATTTCCGCCACAGTCCGTTCATATGAATTTATTGATACTGGTTTTGATACTAGTTGAAATTAGGCCAGTCTGTTCAGAGATTATACATGACGTTAACAGCTTGGCCATGTCATAGCTATAGAATTTTAATGAAATAGGCCACTGTACTTCATTTTGGTGCCCGTATTTTCTTTTTGGCAAAATAACGTCATAATTAAATTGATTATTATAGATATGAAATAGTAGCGTTTTTATTTTAAAATCCATGTAGTGCTTGTTATTTTATTCATTTATTCAGATTCACACTATTTCACTAATAAATGATTTTTTGTTGACAAAGAAGATGAAAGCTCATTATTTTATTTCGCGGAAATTTTCTTCAATGTTTCGAATTCCTGTTAAATGGAAAACGATAATTTTGAAATTTCAATTTCTGCTTCTTTCCCGAGAATGTGAAGAAACTCGGGCCACATAGTTACAGATTATATGTGACATTTTGAAAATAATTCAGGTTTTTAAAATCACAATAATATTATCGCAAAACTTAGCAGAGCAATCTCGTACTTTGTTTTATAATAATATGCGTTCAAATTGGGACGAGTAGTTTGTATAATCTGAGTAAAGTAGTCATACAAACGAGTGTGGATTGCAAAGGGTTGATGAAGTGAAAAATAACAAACACAGCGGTTGATGACGAAATAACAGGAAAGCGTCCCTCGAGGGCATGAAATAATAACAAGGCTATGAATATGTAATATATGTTTTCAGTATTCGTGTCCCAGATGGTCTAGGGGTCAGGATTCCTGGCTTTCACCCAGGCGGCCCGGGTTCGATTCCCGGTCTGGGAACATCTTTTCGCTATGCAATTTTACTCGAGTCTAGATGATCTCATCGCACAAAAAAAGTGGAAAAAAAGGAATGAGACGCTACAGAAAGCAATTGGTCCGTCCAGTAGTTAAAAGAACAACGAGTTGTTCAAAACAACAAGAAGAAAAATACCAACAAGTACAAAAACAGCAACATAATTACAAAACGATCTACAGGTTCATTTCGTGTCCAAAAACACCGTTCAACTCTTAGCATTTAGTTCTAGAACATTGCCCCTGCACATTTTTTTTCGAGACTGTAAAGTTGGAAAAATTTTTACAATCCGCGTTAAAAATTATTTTGACTCCAAACATCGGGTTGAGAATATCCGGTTTTGATAACAATAACTTTGGCATATGCAGCCATTTTTACTAGACTGGTAAGAAAGATTTAGTAAACTTATTGCTTTTGAGTTTCTACTTTGACTCACGAAAAAAGTCCAAAATTCCGGATCCACAAAATTCAGAATTTCGACTCCGACTCCAACGCAATAGCCCTGATTCTTTCACCAGTACGTCAAAATTGGGTCTATGGTATACAAAGTATAGCTACTAACCCCCAAAGGTACCCCATTTCATGTTGAAATCATCATGACAAAGTTAATTTTTCCCAAAATTCGAACAAAGACTTTCGTAGGAATCAAATTACACAGGTTTAAGAACATAACAGGTTCCATCCAGTCATTATCAAATTAAAATCTATATTCTCAAGACCTTTGGCACTGATTGAAATATTTATATCTAAGTTCCCATCCGTACGATGTACATAATTACCCTTGTTGAGATAATAGGAATTTCTGTTTATAACGTGAATCACGAGCTCACGTTTACAGCATTTAATTGGATTTATGATCAACGTATAAATACGACTCCGATATCTTTCGATAGGGAGAGCGAAGACGATGTAAACCATTCTAAGCTAGTCTGGATAAATGTTATAAGATTTATATTCTGTGTGTTGTGGAAATTTACGAATAAAAACATATAGAGATTTTTAACGCATCTTCATTCACGTGGGCGTTGAAGCTGAAGGGTGAACGGGTGACTTGCAAGTTCTGAGACAATCTACGAAATAGCAATATACGGTAACATCTCATTCATCTAACAATCATCGCAAAACTTAGCAGAGCAATCTCGTACTTTGTTTTATAATAATATGCGTTCAAATTGGGACGAGTAGTTTGTTTAATCTGAGTAAAGTAGTCATACAAACGAGTGTGGATTGCAAAGGGTTAATAAAGTCAAAAATAACAAACACAGCGGTTGATGACGAAATAACAGGAGAGCGTCCCTCGAGGGCATGAAATAATAACAAGGCTATGAATATGTAATATATGTTGTCAATATTCGTGTCCCAGATGGTCTAGGGGTCAGGATTCCTGGCTTTCACCCAGGCGGCCCGGGTTCGATTCCCGGTCTGGGAACATCTTTTTCGCTATGCAATTTTACTCGAGTCTAGATGATCTCATCGCACAAAAAAGGGGAAAAAAAGGAATGAGACGCTACAGAAAGCAATTGGTCCGTCCAGTAGTTAAAAGAACAACGAGTTGTTCAAAACAACAAGAAGAAAAATACCAACAAGTACAAAAACAGCAACATAATTACAAAACGATCTACAGGTTCATTTCGTGTCCAAAAACACCCTTCAACTCTTAGCATTTAGTTCTAGAACATTGCCCCTGCACATTTTTTTTCGAGACTGTAAAGTTGGAAAAATTTTTACAATCCGCGTTAAAAATTATTTTGACTCCAAACATTGGGTTGAGAATACCCGGTTTTGATAACAATAACTTTGGCATATGCAGCCATTTTTACTAGACTGGTAAGAAAGATTTAGTAAACTTATTGCTTTTGAGTTTCTACTTTGACTCACGAAAAAAGTCCAAAATTCCGGATCCGCAAAATTCAGAATTTCGACTCCGACTCCAACGCAATAGCCCTGATTCTTTCACCAGTACGTCAAAATTGGGTCTATGGTATACAAAGTATAGCTACTAACCCCCAAAGGTACCCCATTTCATGTTGAAATCATCATGACAAAGTTAATTTTTCCCAAAATTCGAACAAAGACTTTCGTAGGAATCAAATTACACAGGTTTAAGAACATAACAGGTTCCATCCAGTCATTATCAAATTAAAATCTATATTCTCAAGACCTTTGGCACTGATTGAAATATTTATATCTAAGTTCCCATCCGTACGATGTACATAATTACCCTTGTTGAGATAATAGGAATTTCTGTTTATAACGTGAATCACGAGCTCACGTTTACAGCATTTAATTGGATTTATGATCAACGTATAAATACGACTCCGATATCTTTCGATAGGGAGAGAGAAGACGATGTAAACCATTCTAAGCTAGTCTGGATAAATGTTATAAGATTTATATTCTGTGTGTTGTGGAAATTTACGAATAAAAACATATAGAGATTTTTAACGCATCTTCATTCACGTGGGCGTTGAAGCTGAAGGGTGAACGGGTGACTTGCAAGTTCTGAGACAATCTACGAAATAGCAATATACGGTAACATCTCATTCATCTAACAATCATCGCAAAACTTAGCAGAGCAATCTCGTACTTTGTTTTATAATAATATGCGTTCAAATTGGGACGAGTAGTTTGTTTAATCTGAGTAAAGTAGTCATACAAACGAGTGTGGATTGCAAAGGGTTAATGAAGTGAAAAATAACAAACACAGCGGTTGATGACGAAATAACAGGAAAGCGTACCTCGAGGGCATGAAATAATAACAAGGCTATGAATATGTAATATATGTTGTCAGTATTCGTGTCCCAGATGGTCTAGGGGTCAGGATTCCTGGCTTTCACCCAGGCGGCCCGGGTTCGATTCCCGGTCTGTGAACATCTTTTTCGCTATGCAATTTTACTCGAGTCTAGATGATCTCATCGCACAAAAAAGGGAAAAAAAAGGAATGAGACGCTACAGAAAGCAATTGGTCCGTCCAGTAGTTAAAGAACAACGAGTTGTTCAAAACAACAAGAAGAAAAATACCAACAAGTACAAAAACAGCAACATAATTACAAAACGATCTACAGGTTCATTTCGTGTTTAAAAACACCGTTCAACTCTTAGCATTTAGTTCTAGAACATTGCCCCTGCACATTTTTTCTCGAGACTGTAAAGTTGGAAAAATTTTTACAATCCGCGTTAAAAATTATTTTGACTCCAAACATCGGGTTGAGAATATCCGGTTTTGATAACAATAACTTTGGCATATGCAGCCATTTTTACTAGACTGGTAAGAAAGATTTAGTAAACTTATTGCTTTTGAGTTTCTACTTTGACTCACGAAAAAAGTCCAAAATTCCGGATCCACAAAATTCAGAATTTCGACTCCGACTCCAACTCAATAGCCCTGATTCTTTCAGCAATACATCAAAATTGGGTCTATGGTATACAAAGTGTATATGGTGAGGATTTGAGATTGTAATGTCCGGGTACAGCACTTGGTTTCATACATCACGGATGTGGAAAAATTTATTATAAATTAGGAAAAGTCTGTTGTCATGTAACTAACAGAGGTTTTGCGCAACTAAAAGGGTATAAGTGAACGATAATGCAATTTCTTTAGGTTGTAACAATTATTATTGCTTCTCTGTATAGAAATGTTCGATGTGGCCAATATGTTTTCGAACCCACCAGGACGCATTTGAGTCCGGTGCTCCGGGATTGAGAAACACTGGCCTGAAGCATAATTGCTAGAATACTTGGTAGATCAGGGAAGAAAATCAATGTTTGAGGTGGAAGGTTTAAAAAATATAAACGTTGCATTGCATGAAGAAGCAAATGAAAAAAGCATCTTTCTACAGCAAACGCCCAATACACAAGTAAAGCAAATAGCATAAAATCAGTCCAATTACACTTAAACTAATCATCATTTCATTTTGCATCTTCTTGAAGATCTGGCTTCGTTTCATCAAGGTTTCCGCTAACTTTCCTCTCTCGTTTTCGTGCGGAAATGGAACATTTGGAATATCTTTGCCGAGGAATTTACACAGTGGTTTCCAACCTTCTCTCAGATCACATATAAGTAGGCGATCTTTAGGAGCTCTCTGAACAGATGATATAGTAGGCTACAATTAAACCGGTACTATACGTTATTAACTCGTTGTCCGCTTTCAAATGAATTTTAGATTTTTATAGAGAGCAAAAAACATAAATGCAATCAATAATTAAGATTGTAAGCCGTGTTGCCAAATAATTAGCAGTTTAACATCAATATAAATCACGCTCATACCGTGAGAACAGAGTTGCAATGGTCTCTATACCGTTTTCTGGCAACAGTCATGCTCACTCCGCAAAATACATTCCACGGCAAGAAGTTGTAGTTGCCAAATAAAAAGCGTGCTGCAAAATTAAAATATTATCGTGAGCTATGTTTGGTTGAGTCGGTTTGTACAGTAAAGCAATTAAAATTATACAGTTAGGGAATATTTTGTACATTTACATTGCACATAATATCACACAAATTCTCCGATTGAAAAGGAGAGACCAGGGAAAAAAATACTTGACTAGATCGCAACGAACGCGAACTCGATGTCACAAGGTGCGCATTTTTTTATTTTGATGACTCCATCAAACGATAAATCACATTGCTCCCACATTTTCGAAATAGCCTTCTGGCGACAACAACAATCTTTAATCACTGGAAATTTTGAAGCAATTGGTCTAGTTACTAGTAGTTAATAAGAAAATCGATTTTCACAAAAAGGAGAAATGAATGATTAAAACAATAATAACAACAACAACATAATAATAACAAGAATATGGGTCAGAGACCGAAGACTTATCGATCGAAAGTTAGGGATCCCAAAACAGCGCTCTTACTCCATAGTGACACCTTGTGTCCCATCCCTAATTAATTAATAACTCGCTAATTATACGACATAATTTGCCCAAAATCAATGGGCTTCTGGTCCGAGATATGATGAATGCACATGCAAAATCTGGAGCAGATTCAATCTCGCTTCCGTGAGATAGCGCGTGCATCTAACAGACAGACAGACAAATACATATCAACATACTTACCGATTAAAATCGATAAGTAATAACAAAGCGATCCATATCTATACTCCGTGTACAAAACCAATCCACAGGTCCACAGGTTCAACAAGATTCTCAAAACATTAGCGACCTAATTATACGGAAGGCCAAAGGGGTATCCAACTGTATTTCGAGTTTTTGGCTCACATAAACATACGAACAAGATCAAGATATTTACGTGAGTTACGTTTGTGATAAAATCGACAAAAAATATTAATGATCGCTGAATTAGGCCAAAAAGTTCATTTTGAATGTTTTGATTTATCTGAAAGTGGCTGCAAAACAGCTAGTGCCGGATTTAGGCGATGAGAGATTTTAGGCTATTCCGTTTGTAAAACCGGCCCATCCCTAACATGACATCCAATGTTATTTTTTTATAAACGAATTTTATAATTTGCGGAAAATATGATAAGCTATTTTAGTTACAGCCCGGATACGTACACAACATCGATTGAGAAGTTGAACTCAAAATGAACTTATGAAGTTGAAGGCTGCAACGTCATGACACCAGAAAACGTGATGGATTATTACTAGTCGCGCGTAATGGCTACTGATAAATATAATTATTGTTTCATTTCTTAGAATAAACAGGACTACGATAATAAAAGACATATTCATTTATTCAACTGTGATTAACGTTTTAAACGGGAATGTAACAAGAATATCGGTGATTTACGTAATTAAACAAAAATAGTTCACTTTTAAAATAGTACACTGGTTAAATTCCGAAACATGCGTTTTAACTTTAAAAATGAATGGTAGTTCGAAATTGAACGTCGAAGCCCTCATGAGCCACGGGGCTTCAGATTATTGTTAATTTGTCGCTAAATACACCAATCAATTATCATGAAAAATACTTTTCTCCTCAATTACCTAATGAATTATAATATTTACATATACACAGGATTTTTATTCATATATTTGGAAGCTGTAAAGAAGTAAATATTAAATAAATTCTCACATATTGTGGGTTATATCGCGTGTATTCGAGAAAGTCTTTTCATTTTGTTCCACTCACCAATAATAGACAGCGTATAAAAGAATTTGAATCCAGTATAAGATAATGTTGACAAAGCTAAGAATCCCCAATTTGTATTAAACATTTTTACTTGGTTGAGGAAGCTTTTTTCCCAAATTTCTTCGCTAGTTCGCTGTAGAAATATTATCTAAAGTAAGATAAATTCTTTTTACTTTTTTATCTTGAGTGACTTATAGCGAACAAAATAAAGTAATACCCCTTATTTAATTGTTCTTACTTTAGCGTCAGGAAACGCTTCCAAAATTTCTTCCCAAAAAACTGCAAACGGAATATCAACTCCAACATCGACGTTTTCGTACATTCGGCGAAAATCCTCTTTTGTGCCTCCTTGCTGCAAAATCTGCAATATGCGTAAATAATTATTTGATGTCTACAGAGGGAATTAAGTGGAATCGTATGCTCGGAAACTTCCCAGCTATTTTTAATTTCTGTCTCACAAAGTATTTATTTCATTCATTGTTTAATCGGTGCCCCTCGCCTCTATCAGTGAATGAAATATATAATTTATTTTAGCTACACGTTGAAACGACAAGGGTAGAGGATTCAAGTTAAAAATTAATTGGCGATTTTGGATATATGACATTTAACGATTACTAGACTCGACAAGAATGTCAAAATAAAATAACCTTAATCCATTCGTCTCCGAGATGATATAAATGGTGTTCAAAATCATGAACTGAATATCCAAGAGTGTCAAGAACAGCAGCCATTGTTTTGGTTCCTGTTTTAACAAATCCTGCAACGATCACCTTCATCTTTGGTCAAATATTTTTGGTTTCTACTCTCGTAGATTCCTGAATAAGGCTATGAAATTTGTTTTATTTGAGAAGTGGTTCCAGGTACCTAATTCAACGCAAATATGATACAAGTAATATTTGCATCTTTTGTTGTCGACTAAATGTGTGGTCCCCTAAAGACGTTAAGGAATTCACAAGATCGCAATAATACGAATGAAATCTGAATACGATCTGGCAGTTTACCGTGCATTGCCGCCGCATCTTAGAGAAGTAATGATTTATTATGGAGTAAGTCGATGCAACGCGAGTAACACTGAACACACTTAAATTAACATAGAAGGGCATTCTAAATGTTCGTGTCGACCATGGATTAAATGCTTTCGCAATAGAAAATCCTTACTCTATTGAACAATCGGCTCTTTTAATGAGTGGAGCAATGGTGGTGACGGTTTCAAAATACCCCCCGTTAATTCCTGGCTGACAACTGTCCTTTCTACACTCCGAAATATGTTGTCCTTGTTATTTCAACAATACTATTAACATCTCGAGTAGAGGAATCGTTCTTTATACTTTTGGCGAAGCCTATTCTGTGCCAAAATAGTTTTCGTTTAAAAAAAACTAGTCGTAGGAAGATACAACTGGTTTAAAATTGCTTCGTGCGATTCGGAAATGCCAAATATATAAATAAAACGATTACACAGTATTGGCGGCACAACGTGTAATCTCACAAACGAACAGTTGTAAATCTATGTCTGTAAGCGGCTAAATATATCTATATATCTGTCGATAGTTTTCTACAAGTATTTTATTCTATCTGGCTTGCCTGGAGCAATTTTAGAATTGTATAAAGAGATCTATATCACATATAAACATCTCACCACTGACAGAAGCCAAAAATAAAAGATGTGGACACGATCATCCCATTAAACACTTTATCAGCAATTTTCAAAAAGGAAACATCTTGTTTTTGAGCCCATCCCATTTAAATAACATAAATTCTCTATTTCATTGAAAACACCCAATTTGTCTAGTACAGTGACTTTCAACTCGCGTTCCGTGGTTGATTTGTGAGGAACCGCGTGTTCCGCGCCAAATTGTTGTTCCCCGAATATTTGTTCCATATTTCGGCAGATTTTATTCATTTTTTTCGGTTATTCTGGTAATAAACATGAAGAACCAGTTCTCAATTTGCAATATAAGTAATGTAAGACGATTGCCATTCTAGTGCTCACTTGCCTTTGACCTCTGAATTGATCTCATACTAACTGAAAATCTAGAATTACCAGTTATATGAATTAACAGTGTCTGTATGAAGTCATTCTGATCATCCATGACTCAAATATTCCTAGGCTAAAAATGGATGGACTCTAGAGTCTAGAATAGATCATACTGAAAGCAGAAAATCAACCGAGCTCGGCATTTCCAATTACCCAGGCTGGGATATAAATTTTGTATTTTTCTTCGAGGTGAGAAAGTCAATATGACGACTTAATCATGTAGCGAATCCAAGTCTCTCATTTTTTTGGCTACTAGTTTGAGGAATAATCTGAATAAATCGAATATCCCAGTCTAAGCCCCACTGGTGAGGCCCCTTGCTCTTTTACAACTAAGCGGTGGAAGACGGTACCAATGGTCCAATCAAGTGCCTGTGGCCGTTAAACAGCTGTACTGAAAAAAGCTTAGCGGAGCAGAAATAGAATATAAGGAACCACTACATTTGGTTTTAGACTGACTGATTTCGATACTGATGTTCGTGCTATTAGAAGATTTGTTCTTATTGAAGTAAGCCCAGATATCAAGTTAAAATGTCTTTGCTGTTTTCATTAACCCGCAGCCTACCTCATTACACCTATTCTCATTAATATTTTACCGTTTTGTGTCCGGAGTTTGGAAAACTTTTATTTGCATTTTATATTATTAGAAATCAATTTGTTTTTAAAATCAATTTGATATTCTATTAGTCTTATGTAGTCAAAGTCTAGAGTCTGTGAAAAAGGGTCGATAAAATTATTAATTAATTGGATCATTCATTTACGAAAAACCTAAAGTTTGCATATGTTGTTATACGCTACAATTCATAATATAAGTGTTGCGCGATTCAGAATGGTTGAACAACGCTGTTTAAAGAATAATAGGTCACGTGCACAGGCAGGTCCAGATCATGCCTGTCATAGACCCTAAGCTTGGTGCCTTATATATAAAAAATAATAATAATGAAAGTCATGTTCTATAGTCTATACCATCTGAAATTGAATAAGTAAGTTTCAGTATCCATTGCTAATTGAGGGCCAAATTACCATTAATTTGCATTGTATATAAAAAAAATTTTGAAGAAAGTTTTTAGATGATTATTGAAAACATTATTTCAACCGGATCAATATTGAGGTCTTTGTCGTTGTTTCATTAAACACTAAGGCCCCAACCATCGAAAAATCGTCTCTGAAAATGTCTGAGATGCACCCTTTTTCTTTGTGCTCTAATCACGTGCTGATTTTGGTTAATAGTTAATCGAGCACTGCCCACAGGTCTCAAACTAAATACGGAACTGTCGATCAAAGCTAACTACAAAATTTGAAGTGTTGAAATCACATAACTGATTGGTATATTGTAACGTATGAAATTCATAAGGTTTCAAGTAAAATGAATGCGTTTCGAGATCGAATATTGCACAGAAGTACTCTCCTACATAAATAGCCCAATGGATAAGTAAAGCAAATAACATAGGATCAGTCCAATCACACTTAAACTAATCATCATCTCATTTTGCATTTGTTTGAAGATCGGGCTCCGTTTCATCAAGTTTTCCGCCAACTTCCCTCTCTCGTTCTCGTGTGGAAATGGAACATTAGGAATATCTTTGCCAAGGAATTCACACAGTGGTTTCCAACCGTCTCTCAGATCAAAGTTAAGTAGACGATCCTTAGGGGCTCTCTGTAAATGTGAAACGAGATCGCGATCAAAGACCGCTGACTTATCACTCTAACATCCTTATCAATCTAACACAGACAAACAAACAAATACCTATCAACATACTTACCGCTTGCGATCAACAAGTAACGATCGCGATCGAAAAGTAATAATACATTGCGATGATTGGGAACAGCAACACATTGAGATGCGTTCAGGGGACCTTCAGATTATTTTAAAGTCCGAAAAGGTAAATCCTAACTATCTTTTGAACTTTAATTTATAACTTACTCATACCGTTAGAACAGAGTTGCAATGGTCTCGATACCGTTTTCTGGCAACAGTCATGCTCACTCCGTAAAATGCATTCCACGGGAAGAAGTTGTAGTTGCCAAATAAAACTCTAGCTGCAAAATGAAGATATTGTCGTGATTTCTGTACGGTATAGAAATCACTGAGTTTGGAAATGTTAAATAACAGCTTGTCGGATTGTTTTGATTAAAGGGCATTCTAAATTTGTCATGTTATCTCCGTAGATGACACAATTAGCTGAAAATAGCATTGATTGCCAAATCAAAATATCCAAAAACCGTCCTAAATTCGATATCTGGATATTTCTAAAGTGATGGAACGGTGGTTACAATACAATCACAAACTGCTATTAAGAATGCTTTTCTTAATATTTTTCTATGTCGAGCAGTGATCCTCAACCTTTTTTCGTTGAATTTATCCCTTTCGCCTATTTTGGAACCCTTTATTCCCCTCTCACTATGCAGTACCTGCAGTAGAAAGTCCGGTACTTTGCTATTAAATTTTTAAACGATCTTTACCTAATGTTATGCGCAAATCGCACCATCGCTTTTGTACAGTTAAAGTAGTTTATAACGGGTATATAAATAAGTAATATCGCAATAATAATGAACTAAAGAATATTTTAGTAATACTACAGCAAATACAAGGGAAGTTTCTCCCCAAAAACGGAAAACGGTTGATGGAGAGAATTACGATTTGCTATCAAAGTTTTAATATTTACAGGTTTTGTTACGAACAGAGTTTTCGCCTTGTGGAAGTCTGTCTACACTTACCAACGATAGAAACCTTGGTAAAGAATTTGAATCCAGTATACGATAATGTTGACAAAGCCAAGAATCCCCAATTTGTATTGAACATTTTTATTTGATTAAGAAGGCTTTTTTCCCACGCTTCTTCGCTTGTTCTCTGAGAGAATATTATCTGTAAATATAGATTTAATTCAACTTTCCTACATTCAATTTACTTCTGTGTGACATTGTAGAACAGGGCTACTCAACTATTTTCACCAAAGGTTCGTTCACGAAACTTCAAAATTACTGGGGTCCGGACATTACAGAAAATTTTTTTCATCAAATAAACCAAACTTCAAATTCAATATTAAATTAAATACAAGAGCAATGAATGGCTCGCAAATATGGGCACAAATATTGCACCTCGGTACCAGTACGACAAACTGTATAGCTGTGTATTTAAATTGTATCAAAATCATTTAAAACTATAAAACGATGCTTATGCTGCTAAAATAAACGAGCAAACGAGGTCCAAATTTTATGGTCGAAAGGTCCGAATTCGGACCGCGGTCCGCCAGTCGAGTAGTCCTGTTGTAGAATACAGAAAGAAGTACTTTTCATACTTTGGCATCAGGAAACGCTTCTGAGATTTCTTCCCAAAATACGGAAAATGGAATATCAACTCCAACATCGACGTTTTCGTACATTCGACGAAAATCCTCTTTTGTGCCTCCTTGCTGCAAAATCTGCAATAAATAAAGATTATTATTGTGTGTTTCTGAGCAATTGCCCCAAATAGGATTCTGAAATATGAGTTATTTGAATGACAAGGGAATGTTACGATATTAGAATGCCGGAAAACAACGCCGATTCTGAGTTCGGAGTGAATAAAATAAACTAGGCGGTCTCAGGAAAAGGGCCAATTTCTCGCCTTCGTTGAAAAGACTTTCAGCGTATCATATTCAGCGTATATTATTAATTTTCTCTCAAGATGGGCTTGAACTCCAGTCATAATTACCTTAATCCATTCATCTCCGAGGTGATACAAATGATGTTCCCAATCATAAACTGAATATCCAAGAGTGTCAAGAACAGCAGCCATTGTTTTGGTTCCTGTTTTAACAAATCCTGCAACGATCACCTTCATCTTTGGTAAAATATTTTAGTTTTTCTCTTTAATTACTAAATAATACTGGAAAAGAAATCATTTAAGGATTAAATGAGGCGGATAAATAACTTATATTTAAGTTCGGAATTAAAGGTGGTGTAACAGCTCAGAATTATGGGAAGGGGAAAGTTTAAAAAGGTTTGCCCCCTATGGAGGAGGTGTAGGGAAATCATTGACTCTGATCGACTCCAATTACGTCAGTTACCCAAATAGGAATTTCATATCATGTACGTTGTATAACTAACTCATCGTAAACTCGAATCGTCTAAAATTGCACACCGCCAAGTCCAAGCAATTTGGTGAATCTATACCCGAAATAATAAGTGTTACCTAAGCCCATGTTTTCGATGTAATCCAATTTTATATAATGCGCAAATTATTTCATCTATGCACTGTGTTCGTCTTTATATAAGAAATTATATAATTACGCTTCTATTGGGAGGATTTTTATATCTTTCCCAATTAATTTTTCCTCATACGTTTTAAACTAATAGATATGATTACGTATTTTACTAAAACCGTCACCGGAAAAGATAACAAGCATAAACATAGGTTCATTTCAATTTGATTATTCAAAATATTTACATATTGCGGTAGATGCCATCCTGTTATTGCCACATTACTAATTTTCTCATCTGATTTCTTTGATTTTGTATATCACAAGTTATGGTTTCGAGAGGTGAATCAATAAAACAATCTTGCTTATCTTATCTATTGTCTTCTACACCTTAAGATAAACAGAATAAATAAAATAGATCAGAAAATTAGTGATAGTACAAAAGTTTCTATTTTAGGCATAATCTGGGCATACACCAACAAACCAGACCAGAGGTCAACCCTTTTGCGAGGGAATCCTAGTAGTCTATAGCAGGGCTACTCAACTGGTGGACCGCGGTCCGAATCAGGACCTTTGGGTATTCGATTCGGACCGCGCATAAATCTTCATTTTGAATCATTAGCCCCCTTTTAAAATTTTCTTTATAAAATCACTTTTGAAGATTTAAAAATATATATGAAAAGAACTATAACGCCATAACAAACAATCTTGATTAGCTAATTATCATTAGTCGGCCGAGGAATTGCGTGTTTGATGCCGAAATATAATTTCTGGAAAGTCCGGACCCAAATATTCTTGAAGTTTTGTATGCTGACCTTCGGTAAAAATAGTTGAGTAGCCCCGGTCTATAGTACCGTTTCATGACGATTTAGGTATTATCAGTCAGCGACTCACGGACAGCGGGAGAGAAACAATTAATATAACAGTGATGCACATCTTATTACAAGTTTATTACATATTTATTTTTTGTTAGCCCTGTCCTTTTAAATATTACGATTGATGCTATTCCAATTCATTACCCTGTGTTTCCATATAAGAAAGCTATGCTTTAATATTTGTAGGCGAAGTTCGAGCCTCGGTGCCGGTACGGTGAGGCAATTGACCACAAAGTTTGTTGGAACGAAATTAATTTCCATGACAGAATTAGGTGTTCTCATATTTCATAAGAGTATTTCCACCTTCTGGGTGAAATATCCGATTCTAAAAGACCTTTAAGAAATTGAAAGTTTTGTAGCGGCCTCAACCATAGTTGAAATCGTTTGATCCATTAACCGCAAAGAAAAACGATTTTCGCAACATACTTCACTTCGTGCGTAACAAAGTCACGTGATTAGCCTGGTCATGTGCTTTCCTGATTGACTGAGATTATGGATAAGGCTAAACTGCAGCTGCGACATCGAACCATACGTTACATATTCGTGATTCAATTCGGAACTAATCACTGGCTTTTTTACGAGTTTACACTGAAATTCAATACGAAATACCATTTTTACAAGTCATTTAAGAACAACAGAAAAACGAACGGTGGTACAATTTATTCAGTTGCGCATTGTAAGCGTGAGCGAGTAGATTCAATTCTTATCAAGGCATTCAGTTATTCATTAACTTTGTACAAAACTTTTAGGCATACGTTCCGGCGTTTTACTATTGCGGTCGTCCCAAATTTCAGGCATTTCACAACATTTTCAACAAGATTTGTAAGCCATGGTGACAATTATAGCCGTATAACAATGGTGAATGTTATCAAATGCATATGCTACAATTTCCAACATATCTCCAACCCAACCCAAAATTTTGCTCTTTGACTGACCAACTCGGTCGCCTATGAGCAACATATGATCGGCGCTAGTTAGACAAATTAAAGTTTCCCTTCTTTTTAGGATTGTTACTTATTTTTAAGTTGCGTGCTTATTTTGTTTGATTTTCGTCAAGAAAATACACATAACCTAAATTTTAGTGTTATAAAACAAAGTACGAGGGTTCCGGAGTGTCATAAATTCGATACTATTGTTGGACACTGTATTCATTATTACTCACGGGAACACTGTTTTTAGCTTATTTCAAGCAGTTCCGCAATCAAATATCAGCCTACATGTACGGCTACTGGTAAGTTACCGCATATGGTTTTGGGGGAATTGATGATAAAATATTTAGTTTTGCCCTCCGTGTCCATATATTTGAGCATAGCTCACTTATTATACTTGGAGGCATTCCAATCCCGGATGTTGTAAATGTTCGCCTATGACCAGACCTTAGTATTGCTTTTTCGCCAAATTCAAGCGTTTTCCGATTGTTTATTTAGCCCGAACCTTAACGATCGCTGTTGCAGAAAAAGTGGACGTAACTTGCAATGAAACCGTTTCGAGCAATGAGAAAGTGTTGCAGCAAATTGTTTTTGGACTCGGATTCGAGACGAATCCACTCATATTTAGGATTCAGATTCAATATTATATTTTGCTTTTACTAATTGGCTCCTCCGTTATGTGTGTTATCTATGATGTATAGTCCATTATGTCAATATTTGTCGTCAAATGTTTGTATATATAGGTCATAGGAAAACGACAAGAAGGCAAAACAAGAAATTTACTTGTGTGTACTAGAAATAATACTAGGATGGTTAGATTTTAACTGTAGCGTTCATTAGGCGTCGGATTAAGACGACGAGGGGCCCTAGTCTGAGCGATTGTTGAGGCTTCTCTTCACAACAATGACGTCTTCTAGAACAAGCTTTTAAAATTTAATAATGGGTTAAAATTGAATGTAGAAGCCATAGGCTTCAGCCTCTCTTGCGCAATGGTATATTCGGGCCTGTTTGTAGATTAAATTTATGTAAGATGTTCAATGTGATTTCAATGCAACGAACAGATTTAAAAAAGCAACTACCGAATAAAATGAAAGTAATTGTTGCGGGTTTCTCGAAAACTGGTACAAACACTATGGCGACTGCTCTTGGAATTCTTGGATATTCTGTCTATCACTGGGAGGATCATTTTATACATTTGGAGAAAGAGTGGTTAAAAGTCAGTCGTAAATATTTATTGGCCATTTGTCTTAAACCTATCTGCAGAAAATATCGTACCATATGGGTGTGTGACACATCGTGCTAAACGTTAGGAATACGCTTGCCACCGTACCTCTGATTACCCGGCGGGGGTTCGCAGGTTCCAATTCAACGGGGATAATTATGTGGCCGGTTCGATATATGATTAAGCCGTCTTATTGACTTTCCTTTTCTCACGATAAATATGTAAATCCTATCCTATAGGTGTCACTTCTGCGTTAGTTTTTGTACCCTTGCCTTGAGCAAATACATGTTTGAATAAGTCTGAATTGAGAATGTTAGACGTTATATACACGCTCAAATCAAATCTGTTTTAATTTTCACATAGATATTGAACGAAGGCGGAAGAACAGAAGATTTCTATCGCATGTATAAAAATGTTGACGCGGCTGCTGGAATTCCATTTTCTATGTTTTGGGAAGAAATTTCAGAAGCGTTTCCTGAGGCCAAAGTACGTCGAACATGGGTCATTTTATTAAATTGCTGGCAATAAATTGCAAATAATAAATTGCAGATATCTGGATACTGAATGATCTATAGAAGTGTTTCGCAACCTTTGTCGTTAAATTCCTTCCTTCGTCTATTTTTGAACTCCTTATTCTTTCATCTCGGTGGAACAGAAAAAACTACTTTATATGTCCAATCTTTAAGGAATCTGCACAAGTCGATCTTCTGCTTTTGTACAATTCAAGTAGTATAGTATTAGGAATATTAGTGGTACTACAGCAAATACACAGCCAAAGCAGAAGCTCCCTGGAGAGGAACCACTCCCGGGTTGGGGAACGTTGTACCTATAAGAATTTATGATTGGAATGCAAGCAAACAAAAGTATTATGCTGATTCCCAGTAACTAATTTTACATTAGAAAAAGTTTTTTTTTTCAATTATATCGACATTTTATTTGTATGATTGCAGACTGTGTCAATTATGATAGGTCAAAGAAAAGTAAAGATGTTCTCTTGTTATGATTCAGATAATTTTTCTCCAGCGATCAAGTGAGGATGAATGGGAAGAAAGTGCTATAAATCAGTTGAAAAAGTTTAATAAAGATTGGAAATTCCGATTGCTTCCAATCTTTTCTTACACTGGATACAAATTTTTTAATTATCTCGTGGTTATCAGTAAGTTCATTCAATCTCTACGTCTGTTTCCTTTACATTACTTTAATTTTGTTATCTCGGAAAAATTTGATACTCCTGTAGTATGCGAACCAAGATGGCGGACTCCGGATCGTTGTATGTGTACCAGGTCAGTGTTAGACCATAATTTCAGGTACAAATACTACGGAAGTCACTAGGCTAGTCCCCGAACTCGTAACAGAACTAAAATAAGGAAAATTGGAATAAAATTATGGCTTAACCCCAACCTGGTACACATACTACGTTCCAGTGACCGCCATCTTGGTTAATATACTACATGAGTACCATTTATTGTCCAGAATTTTTCCTGGCAAACAGGTCGAACTCCATAAAGATTTACATGCCAGTGCAATGGTGTCTCCCTGTCAATAGCCTTGTTAAACACGAGGTTGGGCTATGAATCGTTTTGTTATTATGTTGTTGTTGTTAGTTTTTTTCTTGT